TCAATTCAAATCCCATAGTGGTAGAGGTAGTAAATATATGATCAGTAATTGGAAATATTAGAGTTTAAAGATGTTATTCAAGGAGTATAATACAGTGAAATAAATTTGGAAAGAGAAAAAACAAACTGACATGAAGAACTCAAAAGATTAGAATTTGGGAGAACACAAAGAGTGGATGCACCTGCGCCTTTGCTAACGATTTTGAACAATTTCATTCAAGGTCTTTAACCACCGATCGCTATCGTCTCGCGGATCCCAACCAAGTAGTCTACACCTACCAACATGGCTCAGTTCACTTGTCACTGACTTCATGGGTTTTTGCTGTTTTGGTCTGGCCGCCCCTAGCTTTCTTCCAATCTACTCTCACACCATAAAACATCGCACGTCAAGGCAGTCGGTGGTTGGGCATACGTAACACATGTCCCAGCAATCTCAACTGATGAAGTTTCATTACTTTATCAATTGATTTGCCATCCTTACCTAGTACCCGTTTCCTAACAACTGCATTCTTTACTCGGTGGTACCAGGATATACGAGCAATGCATTGAAGACACCTACGGTCGAATACTAGTAACCTACAAATATCCTCTACTCTTACCGGTCATGTTTCACTGTAATAAAGTAGGACCGAACAAAATGATGCACAGTAAACTCGTCCATAGGTTGGTAGACAGATATCTCGCCTACGCCATAAATGACGCAAGTTGGCAAAGCTAGCCAAGCTTTCTGTGTCCGTGCTGAGATTTCGTCACACGTAGTTGTCAACTATGTCATTGGATCATCACTGTGCCATATTATAGATTGACTGAAGTTTAAGTCTTGTCATTAGGTACCAATCCATGGGTTTTAATAAATAATCATTCATCGAGATAACTGGAGATACTGGTTTAGACCTACGATGGGGTCATGAGTGTGCACTGCTACAGAGTCTCATACTAGGATGAAATACCTGCTAAGAGCTCCCTGATTCCCCATAATATCTCAACTGAGATTAATTTGTGACAAATAAAACCTATAAATTAAAACCAGTCACCCTTAAAAAAACCTTCAACTTAGTGCAGTGTTATCATTAGAAATGGAAACTTACTGAAAGATAAAAATGAAGTACGACCATTGCCATTTTCCAATATGATTCAGACCAATAGTCAATGAATTCATGAAACGATAATAATACCTCGACCTTGTTAACCCTAGCTTTCTTCCAATCAACTTTAATACAAACACCTTTGTATTTAGGAATGTTTGGCAGTGGTGGCTGAAGTATCAAAGGTTATTAACTATTCTAATGCTTATGGTCAGATTATGGAATTATATGGACTACATACACGAGGCTCCTGTTTGATCGATATTTCATGTTATCTAGGCACATGAAATTTGAACCCACATTATCTAACTGAGATTAGTTTTTCGTCAAGAGCCGTCTAATGTGTTTGAAACAAGCCGGAAAACCCCTAAATAAGATGAAACGCTTGTTCAGATATTTCATTAAGGTCTTTTTAAAGCTTAGATGGGCTTTTTTAATGAGTTCGCAACAGTTTGTTAACATCATAGATTGCTAAAAGTAAATGATTTGTACATAAATTGCTTTCAAATATCCTGGGAAAAAGAAAAGCTTTTAAAAATCAGTACATATAACGAGTAAGTGAAACCTTTGAACCTAATCTATGATTTCACGGATCGTAATAATTAAGGTTTCTAATATATGTATACACCAATTATTCCCTGTGAAAAAGACAGTTTATACCCCAAGGGTCTATCACTAAACATTTAAAACACATGTTCCCAACTCATCTTCAGTAAAACCAACGGGCTTCCTTTACAAATCTGCACATACGTATCAGTAATCGTCCTCGACTATATGAAGGAAGAACTCGTCATAAACTAATTTCAGAAGGAGAAACAATAAGCTCTGAGCAGCTGCATTGTCCTAGTTTCAGATGTCTTGAAAATACAAATTCCTAAAGTCATTAAAGATCTAAAGCAACATCACTGGACGGCCGTTTTCAATATACGTTTTTCTTCATAAGTCTAAAGTTGTTTATCGTCACCTATTCATCATAAATTTTCTGTCTCTTCATTTCTCTGACTTGCCTACAAATCACAAACATTGTGTAGACTTCTTATCAGTTTATGTTGAAGCTATCTTTGCTCCTCGTCATGCTCCAAGACTGACGAGATGAGTTTCCAAGCATCTATTAATTCAGTAGACCAGGAAGTAAGTCGGACAGATCACAATATCCATGTTTTAACCATTAAGGGTACAGCAAGACAAGACACTGAACTAACAAGATGAAAAGTCACATAGTCGAGGTTGAACTTACACTAATCAATAGCAGAGTGGAAAACTGAGTAAAAAGAAATAATGCAATTCACCAAAAACCAATAAAGATAAGAGAATGAAGCTCAAGATTTTGAGATTTATATTACTGAGATTAATGTCAATAAGCATGAAAACCAATTCGAAACTGGAGAGATCATTGTTTTAATGACACTTTTGCAAAGTAGAGATTCGTGTACTCAGCTTTGAGCCTTGCTTCTTATATCACAGTTATAGATACTACCCAGTTGTCTAGACTGATGTAATAGTTCTATCCTTGGATCAAATGGGACGTATGTTACATTACTCCAACCACCCCTGCCCCAACATACCAGGTTGGCTGCTGTAAGAGTAGTTTAGAAGAGAGCTGGTGGTAGTATCACTGCATGAAGTCGTTGGCTTTTTAAATGAATAGAAATGAAGGAGATGCATTCAATTTTTGTTTAACTTTAGGTCTTGAGTTTTGAAATAATCGTATGCTTTTTATTCCGTGAACATATTCTTTCTTTTCGGATTACATCGTCTATAGCTAACCATTCGTATTACCACTGACACTGTCACTTCTTTTATTACTGTGATATTTGTCTTGTAAATTTCGTCTCGCTGTGATGATATGATGTGGTAAGTTGAATTGATGAACATATGTGCGAAGTTGTATGTTGCTTATGTCTGACTAATTTAGTGATTCAAAGCTAGGCGTGTTTCATAACTAAGTGATATTTCCAATTTGACTTCCAACTAGCAGGTCGTAGGTTCGAACCCAACTCCATTTCATTCAAGTTAAGTAATCAGATAGTGTGACTAGCTCTCAAGCGCACACAAACAAACAAGTGTAGCCCAACGTCGAGAACATAAATCTAGTTCTTGGTAAATGAGTTGAGTTATAAAGAACGGATTTAATCTAGAGTGAGGCTGGAGGTATGGAAGCAGTTGTCACTCCCCGGCTCCGCAAACTATACAGGAATATTTCTTCTTGAGTGATCTGAAAGGAAAACTGGATTAGCAATGTTCTTGTCGACCTGAGGGTATGACTGCACAGACCGAAAGGAAACTACTTGGAGCCGGTCACACACATCCATCTTGTGAATTTCTGATGCGTTAGCTCCGAACATTAAAGGCTTCACAGTTGGAGAGGGAAATCTGTGGGACAAGGTTAGGTGTGCCATGTTTAGCACCGATGTTTTGGTAGGAATTACAGAGAGATTTTCCATACAAATACCCAGACTATTATGAATAGGGTTTTATCAAGACTGTAATCAGAACTGGTAATCTGTATATAGGCAATAACTTTTAACTGCTTCAACAATATAAATTGATTACAATCCTTACAACAGCATGAATAGGTTCAGTAAGTTAGAAAAAGGAGAATAATTAATCACACGTGCTGAACAATAAATTAGGAGCACAAACAAAATACGTTAACAGAAGTTTTGTCATGTTGATAAAAAGGGGTAGAATCTCGTGATTGGTGGATGGAATGAGACTGAATCTAAGTAGTTGGTATTTACCTAAATATTATTGGTAAATTCTTTCTTAACAGTTTTCAACTCTCTGCTTTCGTGAATGGAAGGTAGCTTCGACCGAGGCGTTGGATGTCTGGGGAAATGCCTTACTGCCGTCACACCCTAGTACAGTCAGTAGTATGCAGAACTCGTCTGGGTTCTTTCAACTTACGTCACCTATGGCGAAGGCGAGATATCCGTCTATCAATTAAGGGACGTGTATACCGTGCAGCAGTTCGTTCTCTTCTACTTTACAGCTGCGAAATGTGGCCATTAAGAGTAGAAGATACTCATAAGTTACTAGTATTTGGTGACAGATGTCTTATAAATATTGCCAACACCTGCTGGGATCACCGGGTAAGTAATAGTGAGGTTAGACACAGGGTATTAGGTAATGATGGTAAATCAGTTGATGAGGTTGTACATCTTCATCGACTGAGATGGTTGGGCCACGTGTTACGCAAACCTCAACACCGATTACCACGACGCGTAATGCTGACTAGTGTTGGAGACAGTTGGAAGAATGTTAGAGGCGGCCAAACCAAAATGTGGCATCAGTCCTTGAACTCACTAACTTTTAGTCTGAGCCATGTTGGTAGATGCAGACTACTTGGTTGGGGTCTGCGTGACTATCGTAAACAATTTTTGAAGACTGTGTGACATGGCTCAAAATCGATCACAATGGCGTAGGTGTATACACTCTTTGTCTTACCTTAAACTATAAGATTAAAATCGCTTCATATCTTTCTAAGTACTAATTCTTTCTACCTGTACTATATCCTTATATGTGATCTTTCTTTTACATATTATTACCACTGAATTGGCTACTTCTATGAATCCGGTGTTCATCTTGTTGTGTTAATGAGTTATGTTAACTTGGACCGATGCATATATATGCCTGATCCTACGTTGTAGCCGAATGAATGAGTGACAAATTCATAATTGGACCATGAGTTTATTGCTATTATTCTTACCGTTCTTTAAACCAATCTTTCTGGCATGATAGAACCTAAAAGAACAAGTGTTCCAACCAAGAGAGTTCTATTCAACCATCCAAACCCACCTATCAACTTAACATTAGCAAATATAGTCAAAAACTGAATTATAAAAAAGATTCTAACAATGAGTGATAATAATAATAATAATAATAATACTTTCTTAAAAGAAATAATTAGACCAACCTCAGATGTAACTTTTACAATTTGAGCTTTTAATGATTTTGGTAATTTAGCAATTAATGCAGGAAATAACCAAACTGGATCATTATCATCTAATTCAATAATTGGTAAATCATCAATTAAATGTCCAATTGAACCTTCTTGAAAATTCATATAATTACTATTATTAGTAGTAGCAGTAGTAGTATTACTATTATTACTTGTAGTCGTCGTAGTAATATTATTATTATTATTAGTTGTCATAGAAACAGTCGTATTATTATTATTATTATCAAGCCAATTAATAATTTGTGATTGAAAACCATGCACAATTGATTGTGCTAAATAACCAAGTACTTCAGTTTGTTGTGAAAATGATATTTGTGAATATAATAATTGAAATTCAATTTGTGTACATTTTAATGTCCATATATTTAAATTATGTAATATATGACACATAGCACCAGATAAACCTTCATTAGTTGATGCTATATCAATCCATGTTATATCATATGGCCAATATATAATATGTAATAAACGTCTTGCTTGACTTTGTGTAAAATTTTTATCAATTAATACATTTTCACGTATTAATTGATTGGATGTCATTTGATAAAAACGTTCACGTACCCATGATATTGTACATATTTCACGTAATACTAATTGTGTTAATGCATTTAATGGTAATGTACGTAATTCCATAGTTGTTGGTAATATATCATGTTCTAAAAATCTTTGTATAATATAATGTATTTTTGAAATAGATTTACGATTAGTAAAACGACGATTATGTCGAGATTTAAATCGTTTTGATTTATTATAATTATCTTTTTGATGTGGTTGTAATATTGTTCGAGTACGTTTACGTGTTGTATTTCGTAAGATTGAATTATCTCCTTCTGAATCAATATCTGTTAAATCATCAAGATTATCTTGTGTATTTAATGTTCCACCACCACCACCACCACCACCACCACCATCATTGTCATCATTTTCATCATCATGTTCTTCATCACCACCATCATCATCTTGATTTGCATCACTATCTTCATTATTATCATCATTTCCTGTAGCATTATCAGTTTCGTCTATAATATCTTCTTGTGAACAAAATCCAGTATTATTATTATTATTATCAACTGATGCTTTATCACTATGAACAATAAGCATTTTTAAAACATCAACAAGAAATTCTGAAGTAACTTTTTGTAAAGCAGCAGTTAATAATAATGGTTCTGAGATACGAAAAGGTGGAGATGTTGGTGAATTTGATAAGTTATCAGTAGTATTAGTAGTAGTAGTAGTAGTATTTGATAAATTCATATCAGGATTTGGTGTTAATACATTAGAAGTTGTTTGTAATGAACTAACTGTTGATTCAGCAGTAAATAAACAATGTAAAATATGACAAGCTAAAGAGATAATTGATTTTAATTGTACACTAACTGGTTGTGTAACATTATCTAAACCTTGAGCCATTGCTGGACATATAACTAAACGTAAAAAATCTGATATAGTAAAACAATAACGTGATAATAATGTACCAATTAAAGAACTTAAATTATCATATATCCATATTTGACTTGGATCAATAGTATTAATTAATGGACTATAACCATGTACATAAGAATGTGGTGCTAATATAGCATAGAATGCTCCAAGCCATTCCGATGTTAATTCACTACATTGTGATGTTAATTCAGCGCATAAACCACATAAATAATTAACATGTTCAATTGTTTTAGCTTGACATATCCATATAATTGCTTTACATACAAAACTATAACGTGAATCAGGTTTATTACGTAAATCATCAGCATATGCACGAAATGATGTAACATTATCCATTGATGTTATTGTTATTAAATCATTAGCATAATCTGGATCAAATTGTCCTATACCATCATTTGGATCAATACGACGTAATAATGCATTAACTTTTTGATGTGCTTTACCATATATTGGTGTAAAACGTGTTTTAATAACAATATTTGATGTAAATAAATCATTTAAATAAATTAATATACAACGTTCTAATGGTCCACATTGTGTTGGTTCTTTTACTTGTCTAACTTGTTCAATTAATGTAGGAAATAAACGACATGATATATCACCCATTGTAAATAATATATTTTGATAACGTTGTAATATACCAACAGATCTAAGACATAATGATGACATATATAATGTCATAAAATGGGTACGATTTTCAAATAAGATCTTTAAACGTTCTAATGTATCAATAATAGTTAATATTAATGATGTAATATTTAATGATGTTTCAATTAATTCAAAAAATAAAAATATTGAACTTGGTACAGGCATATAAATATGAGATTGAGTATTAGATGTAGTCATAGATAATGGATTATTATTATTGTTACTAACGGTAGTAACGAAGCTATTACTACTACTAACAGTAGTAGTAGTAGTAGTAGTAGTATTTTGAGTATTAGTTGAAGAGGATGATGATGATAATGGTGAATTTGTATTGATTGATGTAATATTTGAGTTATTATTATTATTATTATCATCATTTGATGCATTAACAGTTGAATGAAAATTAGAACCACTTAACATTTTAACAAATACAGGAGTACATTGAGATAATACATATTCCATATCATAAAATGATAAATTAATAAAACGTTTTGTTATATCCTCATGAACTTCATCAATTGATCGTGTTTCATCATTACTATTATTATTACTAACACTACGATGACTAGATCCATTCCCTATAACATTACTACCATTATTAGATGTTCCTGTTCCAGAAGTTGTTGATTGTCCAACTAATGATCCTAATCCAAGTGTTGTTCCAAGATTGTTAGAGTTGACGTTATTATTATTAGCGGTATTATTGTTATTATTAACGTCTTTTTCACGTTCTCTATCTTTACTTCTTTTACGTCTACCAAGTTCACCATGAAATACATCAATTAAATAAATTTTCTTAGTAAACAATTTACAAATATCACGTATTAATTTACGAATAGGGTATCTTGCACGATCTCTTGATCGTACAGAACCATATAATAATTGAAAACGTTGATTTTGTTCATGTGCATAACTTTCATCTTGTGGTATAGGAAATTGTACTAAATAATGTAAATGACGATTTGAATTAGTAATTCCTTGATTATTTGATAATGATGACGATGATGAAAATGACTGATGATTGATTGGTTGATTATTATTTGATTGTAATGACATTAAATTCATAATACCAGATTCTGAACGTACAGAATCTGGATTATCCATACTATAACGATCCATATCTTCAGAGAATTCCGATTTGACAGAATGTTGAGCTGTTGTTTGCGAATGACATGTAATTGATGCTGTTGACATATTGGTACCGCCGGTAGTAGTACGTGTTATATTTGTTGGTGTATTAACAGATTGGTTAATAGTATTATTATTATTGATGGACAATGGATTAGTATTCATCTTGTTTTGCATAGTATTATCTATCAAAGCTAACGGATGTAAACTTGTATCAAAAACACCACGAGCAATAAAATATCTCACATAATTATCATGATCAAATACTTCACGATCAATTAATTCCGAGAATAAACAGACTAGATTACGCATTAAATTATTTTCAATTAACGATTGTTCTCCATTGAATGGTGGTAAGTGTGCAGTACAGTTATCTAGAAATTTTATTAATGTTTCTTGTAAAGACTGATAGGCTTGACTACTCATTATATTCATATTGTTAATATTAGTAGTATTTTTCACGCTAGTAGTATTAGCAGTGGTAGTAGTGGTGGTAGTAGCAGTAGTAGTAACTGCTGTCATTGTTGTCATAACACCATTAACATTGCTCCCAGTAGTTGAGACTGTATTCACTGGCGCTGTTGATAGTGATACTGTATCTTTATTAATGATATTACTACTGTTAATACTGTTATCTCCATAGAATGTATTTTTTAACTGTTCCAAAAGACATGCAACTATAATTGATCGATAGATTCCAATACGATATGGTGATACAGCCCATTCACATAAAGTTATCACAATAATGGCTGTATCCACATGAATTGAATCATCATTGAATATACGATTATATAAAGATTCCATTGGATTCGGTTCACGAACTAAATGATATTCATGACGATCTAAAATGTCAAGTAGACGAACAAGACGTTCAATCTAGAAAGAAAAAAAATGATAAAAAGAGAAACAATAAGAAAAGATAAGATTAACATGGAGAATTTTAAACATAACGTGATTAGATGGAAGTGGATATTTTGAAAAAGGTAAGACATTTTTAAAACCGGACTTTAACGGTTTTCTAACTAGGGTCAGTTCGTGAAGTAAACTACAATACAATTTTTAAAATAAAAAACTGAACATTAAATTAACTCAATTAAAAATAACTTTCTAATCTGGTTGGTCAGTCACAAACAACATACTCTATCTCTTCCAAAAACATTCATGAAGTCACTGACTAAAATTGAGTCACCTGGGTTGTTGTAGACTACCTAATTGAGGTCTACGCGATTACCTGAAACAATGACTAAGGATGTAAGGTGACATGGCTCAGAATCAAAAGTAATAGTGTATAAAGGTCTATTCTTTGTCTCCCCCCTCCACACTTTAGGCCTTAAGTATCAAAACCACTTATATTCCGCGAATTCATTTTGTCCTCAAATCATATTATCTATCCCTGTTTTTCTAATACCACTGACAATAATACTTCTACTTCAGTAATCATCTTGTTATACTGACGTGGTGTGGTAACTTGCATTGATTTATGTATGCTCCAGGTTCTACTCTGCTTATGACTGACTGGTACGTTCCACAAAAATTGGAATTAATATAAATTAGAATTTGACAAAATAAATATGAATGGATAGGGAATAAAAAGAGAATCATTTAACCATACTTAAGTCATTCCAGGTAAGGGAATTATGTCAAATACTACCAGAATATGACACCAATATGATGTTAATCACGATTAAGGATGAAGTTTGTGAAATAAAAAAAGTAAACGTATCATCGATAAATATTTCCGAATGATACTCTTCAATATTAAGTTTTGATCTTTATCATTGCCAATACGATTATCTCAACACCTTCGCAAATCAGTTTCTTTGTTTGATTTCATTCAGTCATCATCAACATACAGCCTGGGACAAACAGTTGATTTAGGTTGTCATACCACATAAGCACGCTGAGACGGAATTAACAAGATGTACAACAAACGAGCCCCTAAAAATGTAGTACCAATGTTAGAGAGAAAGAGCGAGCACTGAGAATGATACAAAAATACAGCGGAAAGATAGATATGAAGCAATATTGGGATTAAAGATCAAGAAAATAAAATGTAAATTGACGGAAACCTTGATGAAAGCCAAATGAGGCTGACAGTTGCGGCGATAGTTCCCCATAATCTCTAACTTGACTAACAGTATCTGAGTGAAGAGCTTTCAGGTTTATGCACTTCTTTGGTACGCTTCTCGATGAAAACATCTGCGACAAAACCTCTTGGTCAACTGAGTCGAATGCTGCCCTAATTTCAAAAAGAGCAAATATAGTTTGGCGTCGGTATATTTATATTCTGAAACCTGACGAAGAGTAAATATTTGTTAAATGCATACCAACCTAGTTTTTTTTAGTTTGTTCTTTACGACCCTTATGTAAGTGTTGGATGATTATAGTCTAGAATTAAATTAAACTGATCCCTCTGTGGTTATTGAAAGTATTTCTTTTTTGTAAACTGAAGCGGTCAGCGATAGCAACCAGTCAGATGAAAATAAGTCCGACCCTGAACTCTAACTAATGTCTCAATCAGATCAGTAGCTAAAAGTTCACCACCAACCTTAACCATCTCTAGCGTCAATCCATCATGGTCGTGGTGATGTGGTACGGGGACTTAGGCTAACACAAATTTATGGAAGGTTCTACGTTGATTACAACTGACTGGTTTGGTATAACGAAAGAAATCTCTATAGTGACACAAAAGCGGCAATACAGTCAGTATTTTATTCTACGACACACTAAAAAATATCACTCTCCTTTTTCAAACACTTACATACTTGCGCCTGTTACTCCTAATGAAGCATAGGCCGCCGACCAGCATTTTCCAACCCACTCTTTCCTGAGCCTTCCTTTCTTGTTCTATCCAATTTTTATTTATTCTTTTCATGCCTGTCTCCATTTCTCGGCGTAATGTGTTGTTTGGTCTTCCTCTTCTCCTTTCGCCTTCAGGATTCCATGTGAGGGCTTGTCTTGTGACGCAGTTGGGTGCTTTCCTCAATGTGTGTCCTATCCACTTCCAGCGCTTCTTCCTGATTTCTTCCTCCGCTGCGATCTGGTTTGTTTTCTCCCACAGTACGCTGTTGCTAATAATGTCCGGCCAACGGATCCGAAGTATTTTGCGTAGACAACTGTTAATAAACACCTGTATTTTCTGGATGATGGCTTTCGTAGTTCTGCCCCATACAGTAGTACTGTCTTGACATTTGTTTTGAAAATTGTGATCTTGGTGTTGGTTGACAGTTGCTTTGAGTTCCAGATGTTCCTCAGTTGTAAATATGCTGCTCTTGCTTTGCCGATCCGCACCTTCACATCTGCATCAGACCCACCATGTTCATCAATGATGCTGCCCATATTTGTAAAGGTTTTTACATCTTCCAAATCTTCTCCATCAATTGTGATTGGATTGGTGTATTCTGTGTTGTATCGGAGAATTTTGCCTTTCCCTTTGTGTATATTGAGACCTATTGCTGCTGAGACTGCTGCTACACTGGTCGTCTTCTCCTGCATCTGTTGTTGCGTTTGGGATAGAAGGGCCAGATCATCTGCGAAGTCTAGATCGTCCAACTGCATCGTAGATATCCATTGTATCCCGTGCTTCCCTTCAGATGTTGATGTCTTCATGATCCAGTCGATCACCAGGAGAAAGAGAAAGGATGAGAGTAAGCAACCTTGCCTGACACCGGTCTTTACTTCGAACGACTTTGTAAACTGTCCTCCATGCACGATTTTGCAGTTTAATCCATCATATGAATTCTGTATGATATTGACTATCTTCTGAGGCACGCCGTGGTGTCGAAGAAGTTTCCATAGTGTTGTTCTGTCCACGCTGTCAAAGGCCTTTTCGTAGTCAATGAAGTTGATGTAGAGTGATGAATTCCATCCAATTGATTGTTTCATAATGATCCGTAGATTTGTGATTTGGTCTGTACACGATCGATCCTTACGGAATCCTGCCTGTTGGTCACGAAGTTGGGCGTCTACGCAGTCCTTCATCCTATTTAACAATACCCTGTTGAAGACTTTTCCCGGTATTGAGAGATGAGTGATGCCCCTGTAGTCATCACACTTGCTGAGATCGCCTTTCTTCGGTATTTTGATTAGAAGTCCTTCTTTCCAGTCTTTTGGTACTTGTTTCTCATCCCAAATCTTATTGAAGAGAATGTGGAGTATCCTTGCAGTTGCCACTACGTCTGCTTTTAGTGCCTCTGCTGGAATGTTGTCTGGTCCTGCTGCTTTGCCACTGTTGATTTGTCTGATGGCCATGCTTATCTCTTCAATTGTTGGTGGGCCAACATCGATCGGGACGTCCGTGGGTGCTGCTTCGATGTTGGGTGGGTTCAGTGGGGCTGGTCGATTCAAGAGTTCCTTGAAGTGTTCTACCCACCTGTTTCGTTGCTCTTCAATGTTGGTGATTACCTCGCCTTCCTTGCTTTTCACTGGTCGTTCCGGTTTGCGGCGATTTCCAGAGAGTTTCTTTGTCGTGTCATACAGTTGTCTCATGTTTCCTTCTCTTGCAGCCTTTTCCGCTGTCGTTGCTAAATCTTCCACATATTTACGTTTGTCGGTTCTAATGCTCCTCTTCACTTGCTTGTTTACATCTGTGTATTCAGCTTGTGTCTTGGCTTTTTCTGCTCTTGTTCGTCTGGTATTGATTGCTGCTTTCTTGTTCCTCCTTTCTTGAAACTTGTCCAGTGTATCAACAGTGATCCATTCCTTGTGATGGTGCTTCTTGTGACCCAGGACCTCATGACATGTTGAAGTGATTGCCTCTTTGATCCCTTCCCACTTGCTCTCCATAGTAGTTCCTTCTCCATTGAGTAGACCATGAAAGGCCTGGAACTTATTGCTGAGGACTATCTTGAATTTGTTGAGCTTGTCAGTATCCTGAAGAAAGGCCGTATTGAACTTTCGTGATATTGTCCGCCCCATTGTCCGGTGCTTCTTGAGTTTCAATTTCATCTTGGCGACCAGCAAGTGATGGTCTGATGCTATACCAGCTCCTCTCTTGGTTCTCACGTCCTCCATCGTCCTCCTGAACGTTTTGTTGATGCAGATATGGTCGATTTGGTTTTGTGTAGAGTGATCTGGTGAAGTCCATGTGCTTTTGTGAATGCGTTTATGTGGGAATATGGTGTCGCCTATGACCAGCTCACTGAAGGCACATAGGTTTGCAAATCTCTCACCATTTTCGTTCCTTTCTCCCAGTCCGTGTCATCCCATGATGTCTTCATATCCAGTGTTGTCCGTTCCAACCTTGGCATTGAAATCTCCCATCAGAATGGTCAGATCCTTTGTTGGGCACTTCTCGATGATTGACAGCAGCCTATCGTAGAATTGATCTTTAGCTTCTTCATTGTAGTCGTTGGTAGGCGCATAGCATTGGATGATGTTCATTGAAATGCCCTCTTTTTTGTTTTGAAGGAGGCTTTGATTATCCTTGGTCCATGAGATTCCCATCCTGTAAGTGCACTTTGTGCTTGTTTGGACAGCATCAATGCAACTCCTTGTGCATGTGGGGCATTTTCTTCTTCATGGCCGGAGTATAACAGAAGTTCTCCTGAAGTTAGTCGTTGTTGTCCAACCTGCGTCCAATGTGTTTCACTGATCCCAAGCACCTCTAGATTGTATCTCCTCATTTCTGCAGCAATTTGGAAGGCTCTCCCAGTGTCCCACATTGTTCGAACGTTCCATGTACCTATAAAAATTTTTGCTCTGATTGTTAGAAGGGCCATCGGCCTCGTGGCTTCCGAAGGAACTCGGCTTTCACCATGAAGCGCCATAATTCTAAATGAAGACCTTCTAACTCTCAGGGCAGAGTTAAAATGGTTTGAATTATTTTTTCTGGTAAGCGTTTTTTAGCGAGTTAGTTTTCTACGGGATGGGGACGCTAACCCCATGCCCAATCCTCCTCCTTTATCCGGGTTCGGGACCGGCAGTAGCCCCCGGAGGGACTCCAGGCGGAGTTGTTTTCAAACACATATGAATATATTTCCAGACAGAACGAGTTCTCGCTTCATAAACTTTGCCATAAATTGATCACGTAAGGAAACTATCGTCTATTATTTACCAAACACAAGTTTATGTGTTCGGCTTTCAGAAAAACTATTTTTATAATGACTAATGTTACTATCCGGATGTCCAAACTAAAGTATGTGCAGTGAACATTAACTGGTGACGCGCTGACTGAAAGATATACTTTAAACACTAAGCTACTGCTCTTGTGTTAACCCTTACAATATAACGGCACATTTAATTTGTTTGCATTAACTTCACATTCAAAAAGTAAATACATGCTGAAAAATGGTTACTAATTAAGCTTATAAGGGCTAAGGCTAGGAGATAAAGCTTGTGAATCTCTTTGACACAATGTACAGGTGATCAGCCTATGTAACATCAATTAATGACAATACATCGATATAAAGGACAAATCACACAGGAATGATGTTTGCTGGTCGATTACAACTATCTGGTTAAGGTCCTAAGGATCATACGACTCAGTAGCCTAAGACGTTACTGGAAAGTGATCCATTTGGAGTTTTGCGTTGAATTCATTTTTAAAAATGGACCTTTCTGACGGGAAAATCCATCTCACGGCTGTTTCCTTAACTAGAGCGTACCTTCCAATAAATATTATTTTCGGCCTTCCTCTTTTTTCCAGTATTATGACTGCACTTTGTACAGAGCATTTCTGAATTAACAAAATATAAATAACCCTTTAGAATCACATCCATTATTAAAAGTCAAATAAAACTGCATGCCTTAGTGAAAGAACCGTCACAATGAGCGTTTATTGCGGTGAAAACAATAACAGCTTGCTTTAACATTTATTTAGTTGTATGTAATTAGGAAGAGTTCAAAATAAAGGAACATAAACTTTCAGTCTAAAATACGTAGATCAAAACGAAACTAATTGTGGAATGTTGTTTTCGTTAAATGAAAAGATGCAATTAACATGGTTTACAAGCTTTGAAAATACTTCAGCATAGAAAAAACAGTCTAAAACTAAGTTACAGAGCCAAAATAACTCCAGTTATCCAAGTGGATATTGATTCAAACCACTGTTACTCTGACAGTGACGAAAATTGTGTAAATGCATCTAAATTAGCCAGTTGTATGTATTAGATATCAAATAGTTATTTATCTATTTGAACCCTATTTCTCTTGTTTTCATTTTATATTTTATCGCATTTGTTTATTTATTTTATTTGAACACAAATATTGCTACAAAGGGACACCAAATACATATGCGCCACACAAGTCACTGCATTTGTGTGTGGGCTATGATACTGCCCGGGTGCCAAACCGAAGCAGGTGGTTTCCTAAGGGGGCCACACACTGAGTCTCTGACCTAAAGGTCTAATCCACAAGGCAGTGAAGCATCGTAAGGAGATGTTGTCTCATGGGAGCCGGTGACCAACAATTGGTCCATACTCCATTTGTTCACTCAGGATACTGGAGCCCATTTTCACCATTGGTTTGAAACCAGGGTTTTTCAACTCCCGTAGGTGGATCCTCTATATCCACTGACCTGGTTAAAGCTCCGAACATTCGCTTTTTGTCCTCTCAATTTCGTAAACAACACCCCCTTGGAGGGTAGGCAGTGAGTAGGACTTCCTTGGCAGAGGCTATATACGCATGGCTATGTGAGAGCATTTCGACAGAGAGAGCGGACTTTTCTTCACCCTCTGCCGTACCAGGGCAATTGAGTGTGCGGAAACGAGCTAATGTACACATGTGCCTGGCTCTAAGTCTCTTTTTTAAATGGGAATGCCACAGCGCTCTAAATCTTATACCATCACTAATAAAACCCAGAACCTCGTTAAAGTGGGGAGGGTAGTTATGTTTCTCATAAGTCACACACATATGCCTTAGGCGTGATGCCATATGAACTGGTTGTTCATGAGTTATAATTGTATTGAGGAACCTAGAAATAACGATAAAACACGAAATCGTAAACATGATTATAATTCATGAATAAAGTTTACTTTATATTAAGGAATAAATTCAATGTAGTAACACCAAATAATAACACGAATTTTAGATTTATTCTATCAAGATAAAACTAGAAGGACTTACGTTTTCGCCGTTATTTCCTGAGCATGGTTCAATCAGCCAACCGGATTCAACGAGCTGACTACGTCTTATTATGTCCTCCTCAACTTCGGACAAACACTTGCGTATCGATGTTGATTCCTCCCCAAGTGGTAGAGGAAGTGCAACTAACGAGTGTGGAATATGATCAAGAGGTGATCCTTTAAAATAAGCGTAATCAGTATCAAAAGGTATTGGATTCCACACTGCAGCTGACGGACAGCTTAATACAATGAAGATAATTAAACTACTCAGTGACATGGAAATATTTTGATGTAGAGGGCACGTGCATAAATCCTTATACTCATTTAAAATACTTTGTAATGTACCAACAGAAGGAGAATATTTAGATCCAGTACAAGCAAATACAACATCTGCAAACGTAGTGCAACACCAGTAAAGTAGTCTCCGTATTAGCAATTCACTCTCAGTAAACCGACGTCCAAACTTAATGAGGTAATGCAAAATAAACTTCAGGGGGAAATCAGAAGCACATTTGCTAGAAAGTGCTGAACGATCTGAAGGTGATAAAGCAACTGTTGAGGGTGACGATTGTCCACGAATTTGTTCATTAACACTTTCTGCAGCCTTAATTAGCCAGAGTATGACTTCCCAGTGGTCTGCCATGTCCGAATCATACATAGCTAAAAGCAGCGAAAAGAGATAATCCCAATCATTAAAGAGTGATATGAGTTCATTATGCTTAACGGGTGCATAAATTGGCTCCAATGAACGCGAAAGCAGGCGACAGAGCGTAGACGACCAGTCGGCAGTAGGATCCTGAGGTGCTCTTGGCTTTTTCTTTGCAGTTTCAGCAACTGCTGTTGACTGGATGACGCTTATATTAATAAACCATAATGCTCGAGTAATAGGAACTTTGTTTGAAAGCAACTCATGTAAAAGTTCTTCTTTATCTTTGAAAAAAGGCACACGACGTCCAAGGTTTTGCAGCGGAACGTTGCTGGAAAGCTCTCTAAACCAGTCGCAAACCTGTTCTTTGTACATATCAATAGCCGGAATAACAGTATCACGGATATTAGTGGTTTGACGTTTCTTAAAATCTTGAAAGTTAGAGCACTCATACTTCTTTAACATAACATTATAATAAAAGCTCCAAACAGCGTCTGAATTTAAAAACCGACTTTCCTCCTTACATGATTCGTATTCATCACGTACTGGTTTAGTGTATTTAAAACCGTCTTTGACGAAATCCTCACACATCAAATCTTCTTTCTGTTCACTCCTTTGACAATAAACATCTGGGGGACAGTGTTCTTTTCTTTTTAGTGACCGATATTCCAGTGATGGGAAACTACTCATCTCAGTGCAATCAGTAAACACTGACCTCAAAATACCCGCATTCGACCGTAACCTTGTAATTGAAAAGTCACAGTAACATTCTGTTCATTAGACCATCAAACTTTCAGCTTTTTCTAGCAGAAAAAACAGAATGAAGCGTCCACAAGTTTTACGTTGCTTTTTTGATAATGAGATTTTACTACAAGTACACTATAGTAATCAAGAGAGCCCATAGTAGGCTTCAACGATAAGTGGTTCAAATAGTTGTGGACGGAATAGCTTTCGCTTAACAGGCCTCCGTGTCTAGTAGCAACAGACCATCGATACCTTTAGGGCAGAAAGATAGGTATATTTACGGTAAAACTAAAAAGAAATTGGCAAATCATACTGAGATACTATCGTTAGTCCTTAAGAATATGTCAAGTTTCCTCCTAAGAGACTCCCGGGAAGTCTCTTGGATTAGCCCATCCGGCAGCAAATTCCAGCATTTAACAACTCTTAAGGAGTAGAAGTTGTATCTACAGTTTCTTAATACTTCATGTATGACTGCCATTGACCCATACAGTCTATCTTTATCTAGACATTACGTTACAGTTAGCAATTCCGATTTTCAGGTTGATCATTTTCGCTTTTTGTGTGCCTCGTGTGAAAAAAACTTGTTAATGAGCCCTCCCGCAACTGCCTTCTCAGCAAGTGTTCTGTGTCTCAATCAAATGTAGCTGACTGTGGATAAATGTTAAGAATCTTTTTGACAACTAGGGCTTTTAGTTTATCAGACACTAACTCTGCTTGTATGTCTTCCTGTTAAACTAGACACAGACGCATGGGAATACTTAAATGGGAGCAAAATAATGAAAGCATTGCAATACGGCACTAAGCCCACGTGATGCTTTGCACAAGTAATAGTAGCTGACCTGATATAACATTAATGAACCCAAGGTAAACCACAACTACATAAATTATTTGCTAAAAAACATGTAATTCGGTTATTTATCTATTTCACATTTCTGACTAAATTCCTTACTATGCTGAATATCCATTTTAGTCTCACAACCACTTCCAGTACTTTTTGAGTTACTTCTTTTACATTTTCTTTCGGAAAAAAACAACAAAGACTGCAGCTTAACATTACCAATGACACTTTTAAACGGGAACTCCGTTTAAACCTTTGTTTGAAATTCGACTTTTAATGAAAGTTCCTGAATAAATTTTTAAATCTAATGCCACTTTGTTTTATCTGCTTAATCGTTGCAAGAAACTAGCGATACACGAACCTCGCAGCTCCTAGTTTATATAACAAACCCTCTGCAATAGATTGGTAGTATCTGTGACTTCATCTATGGCTGTCGGAAGTCCGGGGCTTTTCGAAAACGATACTGATATCCCCTACTGCTGGGCACTCAGTATTAGTTTGACTCGTTGGTGGGATAGTGTTGTCCATAATATTGAAGAAAATTAAAAAACGGAGATTGTTTCCTTTAATTTTGCCGATAACATCATAAAGGACAGTTAGGAACAAACATGCGGAGAGTTAGTCACAGGCGGCAGCAACAATTATTTTTGCCAAAAAAGAAAAACGAACTTCGGCTTTGGATATCTAGAAAACAAGTCAAAACAAAACCGATTACCGTTTTAAAACATAAGATTAGCCAGCTTGGCTGAAGAAATACATTGACTTGAGTAGAAGCAGCAAAAACCCGAAAAACAATGCTCATTCGAAATAAATTTCACACCAACATGTAGAACATTACACTAACTGCGGCATTTTAGCCCACTGAAACATTAAATTACTTAGCTACACAAAAGAAATAGCTGAAAAAAGCACAGAACGAAGAAAGCCGACCGCCATTGCTTGCAAAGATGGCGGATATAATAAACCCCGCCCCATTCTGATTGGTTGCTAAGCTGAAAGCCACATTTACGAAATAGAGTTGCGTTTAATAGCAGCCTATTATTGTTTCGGCTATGGAAAGTATATATTTTAAAGGGTTTAATAGCGTGAATTCAAAATGGAAAAGGACGTCCCTGGTCTATTTCATAAACAGAAATTATGACTGGTAAGTCTACCTCGGTTGTCTTACAGTAGCTCAGGAGGATATGTAGCAATGGTTGACAGATGATTTTGGTGTAAATTGGTCTACAGTGACGTGTAAAACCAATGGTTTTCGTAATGACAAGATAAAGATAACAGTTTCCCTCATTTTTGACACTTTACACGTAAGAAAATTTATATTCCGTATCCGTTTTTACTCTGCATCACCTGGAAAAAACGAATATAATTTTTCCGCCGTACTAGCACACACGCGCTACAGCTTTTAAAATGAAATAAGCACTATCTCTGTCGCTTGTTCTTCTACTTTATTGGTCTCGGTCTGTAATGAAGATCATAATGATGTTATAACATCCGTTCAGGACGTTATACACTATGTTGGAGTTTTGGCCCGGATTGTTACTGAATAATACTATGGGATATAATCTTTCTTACCACGTTGTTGCTCCCATCACGTTCAGGGAACCTTCGCCGATCATGTGAACTCATTTGTAGATTTTATCTCGGAAGGAGGTGACAAGTGACATTTCATAACAATTGTTATCATTTGTCATTTTATATATCATTTTGTAGTGAGTGGTATTTGTCGCCGTTTTACTTTATTCAAAAACAGACATTTCAGGTTGTAGTATTACCTTTTTCTGATGTGCCATTGATGACTGTGCGCATAGTTATATATTGAATAAGATCTTCCACTAGGATACACCACAGGTATTATCTGAAGAAAAATAACGAAACTGTGCATTGGACGTTTTTCGGCTTGGCACCTATTTCAAAGTTTTTTGCTACATGTTATTTTCTGGTTAGTTTGATGTTCTCATTTTCACCCATCATAGTCAGTATCTAATGCAGTTTGTAATCTTAGCTTTCACCTACTGCTGCCAATTTGGCGCTATTTGTGCCAAGTCGGTGTTAATTCTATCAATGCTAAGTAGATGGATGATACACTACCCAATTCCACTATCATGAGTACATTTTGGGGTTTTCCTCAAAGTCATAAGAAATAAGGTAGTTCTCCTCAAACTTTGTGGAAATTGTTGGGAAAAACTTCAGTGTTAGATGGTTCTGCTGAAACATTGGGGAAAACGCAGTTTCCCCAAAGCCTTGGGAAAACCCCCGAGCTTCCAATTTTGGGGAATCTCCCGAAGTCAGATGACTTTCACTAATGTTCGGGAAACTTTGAGGAAGTTTCAAGGAAATCCCCAAAGTCGAATGACTTTGACCAAGGTTAAAGGGGAATTTCGGGGTTTTTGTGCCATTTCCCCAAAATTTACTTTAGCAGCTTCCACAAAATATGCAAAATTTTCCTTAAAATTGGGAGCTCGGGTCCCCAGACCTTGGAAATTTTTTTTGTTTTTACGCCATCTATCCAAATTTCCTCAAAGTTTTCTACAGATGTTTCCAAAAATTGGGAGTTTGGGTAAACTTATCATCTAACACCTTTGGTTCTAGCACTACTTGATTCTGTTATAGTTTCATGTCAAGAATTTTACATTTGCACTTTTATAAAGTGATGCTTGCAAACGGTTAACGTGGGTCGTACTTGTGAACTTTATATCATTGTACACTTTCTAAGTCATTTGATTTCGTTTGAGCTTAATAATATGTCCGTTCAATAAACAACATCCGTCCGTGTGATTTTGGCTTGTTTTGCCCACTGTTTTACACATACTTGACTTTTTAGCTCCGATAAAATGTTAGTTAAAAGCTCGAGCATATTTGGTATATTTCATTTAACGTATAGTCGACGTCGTATGTGTTGGTCATGTTACAAAAAGTAGTTGACGTGGTATTTACAATACCAGCATGTACTCAGGGAGATGCTCTGTGTTGCATATACTTCAGAGAAATCTTACGAATACTCGCTTATTAACTAAAGAAACGACAAAATACAACTGTGGTCTTCTATTTATTCAGTTTTCCGTGCTCATGTTAGTTCGTTTGACCCGTGATTGGTTTAGTAGTCACTAAACTTGTGTTGGTTTTTGAGGAACATGATGGAGGTTTCAATCTCCCAGTTTTAATCGATTTATTTTACGTTCATTGAGTCAGAATATTATGACAATGTTAGTGCTGTAAGGTTGCTTTCCTAAAGGTTTAAGCTATAATTCAGTACATTTAAAATATTTCTCAGCAACTTCAACAACAGAATGTTGTTTTAGATTTCATAAAAATCCACGTCGTTTGACAAGCGGTAAATCGCGCTGTTGACTCTGTCGTTAACACCTAAAACAAGGCGTGTGCAAAAAACATGCTTATTTTGAGCAATGAGACTGATTTTAGAATAATCAAAGGTTATTCCAAGTGTCAGGAAGCTTTTCTCGGAGATCTATTTATAGTAAAGTACTCTACCTCCGACGTGACTATAATTTATGGGTAAACCATTCACGTATAAGATAACAGGTCTCGGATCTTGACTCGAAATTCATTCATTCGGATAAATAGCTGATGTCAGTTCGTGATGAAAACCCTAAATATAATTTCTAACATTAATCATCAGCTGTAAATGATAATTTCGATCCCTCACACAGGTTTGTAATCCTCATTTGGTCCTGGTTCTTAGGTAGACACTCTCAAGGTCAGTCTGGCGTCGCTCAAAGGTCGTCCATAAACTATTATCTCACCCTATCTCCAATAAACCTAGTGCAGACACGCCGCCAGAGCTCCCCCTCATTTTATCTGTGGTTAGCACAAGTCGAGAATCAAGCGCATTTTCACATACGGTTGCTGAAATCAAGAAGATTGACAGGGTTCTGGAACACCAAATGGTTGAAGTTTGAGTGATTTAACCACTAACCTGTCTGGCGCTTAAAGTTATCTTACATTAGATCACCTTCCTGATTAGTTTTTGTTTACATTCTTTTAATTCTGTTTTCCAAGTCACCCAGCAGGTCATTCGTGGTGAATGTTCTGTGCTGTCTCAAGTCCGTGACCGGCCGAAATTCCTAATGGTGCCATCAAATACAGAATCCGAGTCAGACTTTCTGAAGCCACCTTTGCCACTGAAGCTGGTCTCATTAAACGTTTGCACACTGGTGCAAATCGCATAACAGATAGGTCTTTAGACTGAGTCATTTGAGTAGGCACAATCTACCCGGTTGCGATCCTCGTGGTTATCATAACCAATAGTTAGAGACTTGAGGTGACCGAACTCAGAATGGTCCACAGTGTCGCAGATGCATCTATTCTGTATTAGGAATTCCTAATATTTTCTTCCGTATCTTCTATGCCTAGTTTTTCCTGCTACTATCAGTACTGTTACTACCTCTACTATATTATATATATAGTATATTATATATATATATATATATATATATATATATCGCTGTGCAAATGGGTTGGCAACTTGAATCTATGTCCATATGTCCCAGGTCCTACGTTGCGTCTGAATGAATGACCGGTCTAGAAAGTCTTGGTATCGTTGTCTGCTATATCTCTGGGATCACCATTCAAGACTTTCATAAAACTCTCTCTTAATCTTTCGATTCTCAAAAACTTGTTTCATGTGCTCTTATTTGGGGACCTTGTTTTACCTTTGTCCTGTTTGGTTGGGATGGTTGGAAGAAAATTAGGGGCGGCCAAACCAAAACGTGGCATCAGTCCTTGAAGTCACTAACTTCTAGTCTGAGCCATGTTGGTAGATGCAGACTACTTGGTTGGAGTCCGCGTGATTCGTAACCAATAGTTGGAGACTCTGGGTGACATGGCTCAAAATCGATCACAATGGCGTAGATGTATACACTCTCTGTCTTCCCTTAAACTAAGAGATTAAAATCGCTTCATATCTTTCTTTCTACGGACCAATTCTTTCTTCCTGTACTATATCCTTATTGCAATCTTCTATACATTACCACCTCTGAATTAACTACTTATATGAATTCGGTGTCCATCTTGTTGTGTTAATGAGTTGTGGTGACTTGGACCGATGCATATATGTGCCTGGTCCTACGTTGTAGCTGACTGACTGACTGTGTGGTTGGTATTGGTGTCGAACAAAGCACAAGAACAGAGGCAGCACGAATCAATTAAATTCCCATCGGTAGTTGTTCATGTGTTGCTACGTTAGAAAGCTCCACCAAGGTGATACTGGCATAGAAAACGACATCTCGTAATCTCAGTCTACGCCTCGACATATTACAGTCGGAGTACAATTAAATATGAGTTCTGCTACTAATTAAGATTATGCCACAACTCGAGCACAACCCACTGCAGCATCTTAATCAAGTCATCTAGACCGCACTAGGCTGTGGCTAGATTCGGGCACTCGGGCAGTATCACAGCCCTCACAAATATCAAGTGAGGTCTGTGTGGCACATAGGTATTTGGCGCCTCCTTGTATCAATATCTGTGTTAAAATAAATAATAAAGATTATATCAAAGAAACAAGTTTGACAGATATTTCAGTGATATCTGGAGATCTAATTACTCAGGTTATGGGTCTAGGGACAGAGAAGAGTAAGAGAGAAAATTTGTAAAGCTGACGAAATGTTGATCAATGGCATTTGCTGACATTTTGGACGATGGGCACAGTTCTTCAAAGAACAATTCAGGTGGTCTGCCGCCTCAGTGGCATCGATCGGACTATTTTGTCGTCCATAGCTGGTGATGGCTGATCCACCCAGCGAGGAGAAACTACACGTAACTCTAATTTCTGAAGCTCTATAGGTCACCAGGCTTAGATGACGTACCTACTGCTTTTTTTAAGGAAAGTGGCCATGTTCTGGTTAAGGAACTTAACGAGTTGTTTGTATAAGTTTGGGAATTAGATTATGCCTAAACATCCTAAAATAGGATAATAGTCGTTCCTGTTTTTAAAAGGGGGACAAGTCTACTTCTTATTGCATCCAATTTATTGGTCTCATGCATACTTCGCAGTTCGTTCAAAATTCGTTAAAGATCAACTCGGGAGGAGCAAGTTGGTTTTCGTTCTGGTTGTAGATGTACTGCTCATGTTTCCACTCCCTGCCAACCTTAAAAGATGGACAGGAGCCTCTGGGACACTCACTCTTTGTATTTAACAGTTAGGAGTAGCCGGGAAGATAGTCGTGTAAGTGTTGGTGGTGGCGTAGTTCACAAACATATACGTTGTTGTTGAGTTACATTAATATTATATTGTTCGGTTGTAAAAGTTGCTATACATAAAAGAGTATGATTTATATATTCTCTAAACATAAAGTCGATAGTTTGTGTAACATAGTAGAAATTTTACTTAATTCATCCTGGTTCTAGATTATCGACTAGCCAGTTAAGTAAACCACTAGTTTTTCGTTTAACCAACTGTCTTCAAAACCTTATCACATTGTCAGTTATCTCGACAATACCCTAACTGACCATTTACTATCTTTCTCAAGCCAGCTAATGACTGAAAATGCCTTCTGTATCTCTTATAACTTCTCTGCTCATCACTAAAAAGCTGTTAGTCGATTGTTTTCCATGAGTACCTACCTCATGAATCTGTTATTATTATTATCATTATTATTTGAACACATAAATACTGGTACAAAGAGGCACCAGATATATATGCGCCACACAATAACAATGAGAATGGGAAGAGAAAAAGAATGTAAGGTGCGTATGAGAGAGAAGAAAGCAAAAAAAGGAGAACAATAACGGCCACAGATTAGTGTATGGTAGTGTAATAATAATAGTAATGGGGGAAACAGAAAGGTACAACAAGAAAGAATCCTTTCAGTTAAGGAAGATACAACCACTTTTTATGAAGAAAGTAAAAGAAGGTTACAGCAGGATCGCCACTAGCTTCCATTCTGAGCCATATCTGATAACGTCTCTAGCTACTGCGTTGTACCATCTGTCGGACCTCAGCCAAGGAGTCGTGAAGGACCAACAGAAGCCAGCCCTTTGCAACTTTCTTCCATACTACGACACCACATCATACACTGACCACCTCTCCGCCTTTTCCAACCAGTCCCAGCGTACTTAGGATATGACATATTCAACCACTCATGCACAATGTAGAATCTGACCCACACTGATTGTTTCAAGTTTTGATCATATTAAAACAGCGTGATCCTGGAGTAGTGCAAACAGTAACAGTATTAATGATACTAGAAAATATTATGTGTAGAAGATATAATTCGAGAAAGAAAATATGCATTCGTGGAATAATAAATATATAAGGTTATTAGGTTACTTAAGATCTCTGAGAAGACAGAGCGCACACATCTACCCCATTGCAAATGATTTTAGTCCAAAGTCTAACCATTGGTTACGAAAATCACGAGTACTACAACCGGGTAGTCTGCACAGCTCAACCTATTAGTCGATGACTTCACGGACTGATACCACGTTTTGGTTTGGCTATCTCTAACTTCCAAATTACTCCTACATCAGCCATTATCGTGCGTGACGATAAGAGGTGGTAGGGATAGGTGATGCATGTCCAAACCACATCGATCAACAAAAATTCACACTATCAATTTCTGTTTTGTACCATCTTTAATAATAATAACCTTTCATTTAATATGGAACATTTCTTGGGGTATTTTTTATCCCACGCCTTTTTAAACCAATATTGTGATCATTTTTATATAATTCTTTTAGTTTATATACTATTTTCGTCATGTTATAAACTGTTATTTGTTTGTATTGCCTACATTTTATACTCGTATTCTTTACTGTTCATATGTAGATGGAGTCGGACAACGATATAAACAGCCACTATAACAATGTATGTGATTCATTTGATAGTATGAATTTAAAAGAAAATCTTTTACGTGGAATTTTTGCATATGGTTTTGAAAAACCTTCTGCAATACAACAAAGAGCCATAATTCCGTCAATTGAAGGACGTAATGTTATAGCTCAAGCTCAGTCGGGTACCGGGAAAACGGCCACATTTAGTATTGCCATTTTACAACAAATCTGCACGAATGATCCACGTTGTCAAGCTTTAGTACTGGTTCCAACTAGGGAATTAGCGAAACAAATTCAAATGGTAATTTGTGAATTATTCATTATTATTACTGTTATCTTCGTCTTCCAACTAAACGATGAGTTTACTGCTCACCAGTACACTGTTCTGCCTTACTGTTGTACAACGTGGCACTACTAGTATTTGATCATAGATGCTTTCGAAGCATTACTCACATATAATGGAACCATAGGGTAATAGATAACGCGATGGCGTTTAAAGTGAACGGTACTGGGTTCGTGTCCTGGAGTGAACATCAACTCTAGAATGCAGGTACATCCAACTGGCAAGTCCCAAATAGGACGAAATGTAAGTCCTGGACTTCATGGCTAGCCATCATCCATTAAAAAATCCCCCAAATGCCCTGGTACGGCCGAGAGTGGGGAGAGTCCGCTCTCCCTCTCGAAATGCTCTCACATGGCCACGCGTATATAGCCTCTGACAGGGAAGTCCTACTCACTGCCTTCTCGTGGCGGGGGATGTTGTTTACGAAATTGAGAGGACGAAACGTGAATGTCCGGCGCTTTGACCGGGTTGGTGGACATGGAGCATCAACCTAGGGGAGTTGGGAAATCCCGATTTCAAACCAATGATATACATGGGCTCCAGTATCCTGCGGGAAAAAATGGTATACGAACCAATTGTTGGTCACCGGCTTCCACGGGACTGCATCTCCTTACGATGCTCCACTGCCTTGTGGATCAGACCTTCAGGTCGAAGGCTCGGGGAGTGGCTCCCTAAGAAAATCATCTGCTTCGGTTTGGGCACCCGGGCAGTATCACAGCCCTCACACATATCGAATGAGATTTGTGTGGCGCATATATATTTGGTGCCTCCTTGTACCAATATCTATGTGTTTAAATAAATAAATAAATAGGGTAATAAATGCTGTGGTTAGACACAAGGTGTTAAGTAAGGTTAGAAATTCAATTTGAAAGTTGCAGATCTTCGTTGACTAATGTAGATGAGATAAAATATTAAGTATCACAAACGACCGCCTATCTCTGTTCGCGATGCTGGCTAAGGTAGTAATAAGTTGGAAGAAAGTTAGGGGCGGGCTAATAAAAAATTGACGTTAGTCTACTAAGTTATTGATTGTTGGACTGAGCCGTGTAAATGGAATGCATGCTATCTGCTTGAGGTCCCAGTTGATCTTCGTAACCGATAGCTGTTAATTCTTCGTGACCTCGTTTAAAATCGGTCGCAATAGAGTAAATGGATTCACTCTTTACTTAACCTTATATCTTGAGTTTTTAAGTTATCCTCTTTTTGCAACAACCTAATTATTTCCCCTCAAATCATATCTTTACAACTACTCCGACATTTTTCTTAACAATTTCATCTCTCTGTAATAATGTAGTGCAGCAACCTGGATCCGAAAATTCTAAAGCTATAATGTGAATACACCACCTTTGTAACTGATTATGATCCGTGGCACCTAAAATTTCCATCCATTCATTACAATCATCAGAGTCCTTAACAAGGTGGTTTACATCTAACATATTACAGTTCACTAGTCAATGAGTTTATAAACTGATGTTATGCTTTCGTTTTGCTACTACTGGCATTTCTCAAACGCATATTTTTATGCCAACTACCATTGAAATGTTGAATTAGATAATGACTTGGAAAGTGTGATACATACCTCATACCGATTTATTTATTTGAATACATAAACATTGATTCAACGTGGCACCGAATACATATGCGCCGCACAAGTCCCCTGATTTGTGTGTGGGCTGTGATACTGCCAGGGTGCCCATAGTGAAGCAGGTGGTTTTCTTAGGGGGTCACACCCAGAACCTTTGACCTTAAGGTCTAACCCACGAGGCAGTGGAGCAACGTCAGGAGATGTAGTTTGATGCTAGCCGACGACCAACGATTTGTTCATATGCCATTGGTTCCCTCAGGATCTTGGAGCCCATGTGCACCATTAGTTTGGAACCAGGGTTTCCCATCTTTCCTAGGTGCACTCTCCGTGTCCACTGATTCAAAGGCTCTGAAGTGTTCCCCTCATAAGAAAACCACCTACTTCATTTTTGGCACCTAGGGCAATATCCCAACCCTCATACAGATTCAATATCAAACTGTAACTCATATCTATTTGATGTTCAATCTGTATTTTACGTTAAAAGCAACTGTATTTACATTGTTTCTACAAACCAGTTAGTGAAATAAACCATGAGTTTTATCATTCATTCAACTGACATCTACTTATAGTGACAACGTAATCGATCTCAATATTATTCAACCCAGATATTAATAGATTTTCTAATTCTTCCTTATTTTCCCCCTTGGCAAATTATTGTCGTTGAGATCATGAATCAGTCTTATAGAGTTAGGCAACCAGTGCTAGGGGTATTCCACATTAGGAAAAAAAGCTGTGCACTGCTCTCTTGTTTTCAGTGGTTTGTTTAACTGAGGTTAATTGATGATCTCGATAGTATTCAACAATCCCCCCAAAACTCCCCATAACTGAAAGTTATTACTTTGTTTTTCTTTATTGTAAATAGGTTGTTCTAGCACTTGGTGACTATATGAATATTAGTTGTCATGTTTGCATCGGTGGTACACAAGTATCAACTGATATCGAACAGTTAAAGTTAGGCCAACAAATTGTAGTTGGTACACCTGGACGTGTTTTCGACATGATTAGTCGTGGTTATTTACGTACAAAGACAATTAAATGTTTTGTATTGGATGAAGCAGATGAAATGCTTAGTTTAGGATTTAAAGATCAAATTCAAGATATATTCCGATCACTTGATCCAGCTGTTCAAGTAAGTCTTATTATTATTATTATTATTATTATTATTATTATTATTATTATTATTATTATTATTTCGATAATTATATTAGAAGACGAAGATTATCAGAACTATGTGATATATTAGCGCAATACATTTCGAACAATCTGGTCACACATATACTTGTTAAGAGCATTTATATATAAAAACAAAAGGTCAACTAGACAGGAAACGGGGTAAGAGGAGATAAGGATAATGATAAGAGTAATAATAATATTAATGTGAACACAATTTGAAACCTAATCACTCTGGATAATAAGTCAATATTACCAGGGTAGGTTTAAGGTAAGAACAAACTGTTTTTGAACACATAAAGTTGTTAAATAAAACGTTAATAGAAAATGGCTATCCTCTGAAATTCATAAATAGATGGAAAGTCCATGGTTCAGCGAGACCTACTATAGCCTCGGTAGAGAAAAAGTCTGTCTACATCACCTTACCATTCAGAGGTGATTCAAATAGCCTTTTACTGAAACAACGACTTAAATCAGTCATCAATAAAACCTAATGCGCAGCAAAGGTCATCATCAAAGAAAGAACAAGGTGCATGCTTCATTCAAAACCTAAAGTACATGGAAACGATTGCGTCACATCTCACTGTGTTTACCAATTTAAATGTGTGTGTGGTCACACATACATAGGGAGGAGTAATCGTGATCTCAACATTAGGGTGAGTGAACATGTACCCAAATGGCTTCAGAAACAAATACAATCAAGTGACCCGATAAGAGCAGAGGATAAACATCCATCATCCTCTATTGCTAAACATATAATTGAAACAGGTCACAAGATTGATCTAAATTCAGCTTTTGTAGTGCTGTATAAAAGTGTAAAAGGGCGTATACTAAGGTTCATTGAAGCCTTAGCCATACGAAAATTCAAACCCCCTTTATTTGTTCAAAAACAGTTTGTTCTTACCTTAAACCTACCCTGGTAATATTGACTTATTATCCAGAGTGATTAGGTTTCAAATTGTGTTCACATTAATATTATTATTACTCTTATCATTATCCTTATCTCCTCTTACCCCGTTTCCTGTCTAGTTGACCTTTTGTTTTTATATATAAATGCTCTTAACAAGTATATGTGTGACCAGATTGTTCGAAATGTATTGCGCTAATATATCACATAGTTCTGATAATCTTCGTCTTCTAATATCATTATCGAAATTTATCAAAGGGACTAATTGTTTTAAATTATTATTATTATTATTATTATTTAGTCTTAAAGGTATAGTGGTTCAAAATAGGGTATATCACTCTGTATTCGGAAGTAATTTGCCTCAGGAAATTTTTGGCACGTAGCGATTATTAATAACGTTAAACTGCTAAGTTAGAACCTATTGGTTGACACTGTCAACTTCAATTGATTGGTGGTATATTTTGGCACTGAAAAAATGAACAAAATAAGGTATAATGCGAATATTTCTACCATGGAGATTCGAAGTAGCATGAATTGCTATCGTAATCGATATTTAACCCATATTACATAAAAAGTGATGTACTAAGTAGGAATGATAATGAAGCATATAGAACGATAAATATGACTTTACATTTTTGATTGTCATCTTAAAAAAGCTATACAGTTATTTTTTCAGTTGTTGCATGTTAATTATATCTGGCGGTGAAATGACAGAATGTTATCATCTTTGTACGTAGAATTTGACTGGTATTCTCATTTACTTGTCTCACAACCAACATTAGTTCAGTATTCTTGTATTAGTGGTTGGTGTAAATCAAAACTGATTTGATAAGTTTACAGAGTAAAACCTTACATCCAATTACGCTTTCTCAGAACCCAATTAATGGTTTAAGTTAAAAATCTAACTATTATTGATAACTTCATTATTTGTCAGTTTAAATAATTGGAGGAAGGTTTGAACCTACCGTCCGACAACTGGATGTTAAGTTCTTTAGTCAGTTAGTTACAACGTAGGACCAGGGACATATATGCATCGGTCCGAGTTGCCATACCTCATTAGTACAACAAGATTAACACCAATTTCATAGAAGTAGTTACTTCAATGGTAGTAATATATAAAAGAAAGATTGTGTATAAGAATATAATACAGGGAGAAAGAATTAGAAGTAAAAGTATCAAGTAATTTTAATCTCACGCTTTAAAAGAAGATAAAGAGTGTATACATCGATGCCATTGTGATGGCGCACCGGTTCTCGTCCGATCACCTCAGTTAAGCAACGTTGGGCCCGATCAGTACTAGTTTGGGTGACAGGCTGGGAATACCGGTTGTCACCGGCGACCATGCCACATCAAGTTCTTTAAGCAATTCTCTTATGATTAACAGATTCTATTATTAGCACGATAATGAATAAGTTACACGAAAAGTCTAATTTCCAGTCCATCATTATATACCAGGTAGTCTGTAAGTGTTATAGTTCGAATCTGATACTGAATAAGACTTTCTAGATCAAATTTCAATCTTTCCCTTTCAATATGATTTGTATGACTTCATCGATAAAGTGAACTTTTGTAATAGATTTTTTCACTGTTTAAATCAATCAAACGGAAACCAGTTTTATATAACTATTCATTTGTGTATATCCTGGCGATCATTGTTTTTCTGCACTGTCATGGTTACTATTTGCGTGGAAAATTTACGCCCACTTGTCTCATTGTACTGTTTTTCACGCGCTACTTTATGAACATATTTTCATGCTACTGAATAATGCACAAGTAGTTTGAGATTCTGTTATTAAATTATCATTTATTGTATGCAGATTACAGGTGTTGGTTGCTTGCTTGTTATCGGTTTCTCTCTATCGTTATTACGAATACTTATCTAGATTCCTTTTTTAACGATGAATCGACTTCAGCACTTTGACTGTTGGGCTTATCTCCTGTGTAATAATAAACAATTATTAGATAGGGGTATATTTCAAACAAGCTTGTCCTCAAGCACAAATGACTGGTATGAATGCGTAAATGTCAAGTATATGTAGGTTATTGCGTATAACTATAAAAACTGTCTTTAACCATAGTCTAGTATTTAGATTTAGTACAAGACCATTACATAAACATTTATTACATGACCAGTAACAACTGAATCATTTGGAGTGCGAATGACATACATAATTGATTTTGTTTTCAATCATCTGTGACATGGATTCACATCTTAAGAAGAATTCTGACTGTTAATCTAAGTGGAACTAAATAATATCAGACGCTGTGCATTCCTAAATCATTTTGATTTGTATCAGCAGTCAAATAAATTCTTATCATCAGCCTTTGATTCTCGCACTTCGCTCCTTTTCTCTTTAATCACGTTACTGTGTAGATTTAGTCAGAGGCTATTAGAAGTGACTAGAAAATTGGATCTTATATTCAATTAGCAGACTTATCTATGTTCAAGCATTCATATACGTATATAAGTCAACTAAAGGACGAGTTTTCTGTACAGCAGTTCGTTCCGTCCTACTTTAATGGCTGTGAAACATGGCCGGTAAGAGTAGAGGATATTTGTAGGTTACTAGTATTCGATCATAGGTGTCTTCGGAGCATCGCTCGTATATTCTGGGACCATCGAGTAATTAATGCAGTTGTTAGGAGAGAGGCACCAGGTAAGGATGGCAAACCAATTGATAAATAATGAAACTTCATCAGTTGAGATGACTGGGACACGTGTTACGTATGCCCAACCACCGACTGCCTCGATGTGCGATGTTTTATGGTGTGAGAGTAGGTTGGAAGAAAGCTAGGGGCGACCAGACCAAAACATGGTACAAATCCATGAATTTACTGACAAGTGGACTGAGCCATGTTGGTAGGTGTAGACTACTTGGTTGGGATCCGCGAGACGATAGCGATCGATGGTTAAAGACCTTGAATGAAATGGTTCAAAATCGTTAGCAAAGGCGCAGGTGCATCCACTCTTTGTGTTCTCCCAAGTTCTAATCTTCTGAATTCTTCATGTTCGTTTGTTTTTTCTCTTTCCAAATTTATTTCACTGGATTATACTCCTTGAATAACATCTTCAAACTCTAATATTTCCAATTACTGATCATATATTTACTACCTCTGCTACTAAGGGATTTGAACCGACAAATGTATCTGTGTGGCAATGTGGTACGGCAACTTGAACTGATGTACATACGTACGAAGTTCTAGGTTGTTGCTGACTGACTGACTGATACGTATATATGTGCGCAAGTAAAAGCTCATGATTACTCACAGGAGCAAGTGATACGTAACCAGTCTTATGATGATTTTACATTCGACCATCAACTATTTGTCCTATATCTTCCTAACACTGATCAAAAGGATAGGCGTGTAAAATTGCTGCGAAAATCGAAACGATTATTCTCTTCAGAAGTTAGGATAGGGCCACTACAACATTATATATGTTACCTAGGATCATTTTATTGATCCTTACAACTAAATTGTTACTAGATGACATCAAAATAAACAGGATGTAGTGTTAATAATGTGAAAGTTTCAATTAGTAGAACAGTTAAACATTGTTAATTGTGAGATGGTGGAGAAGAGTTCAGGTGGATGATTTTAATGAAGTTTCTTTGTTTGAGCTGGATTGTTTGGTCGTGGACCTTTCATCATTCTTCTGAACAACATCATCAACACAAAATCCATTTACAGATGATGTTGTTCGAGTTTTTATATATTCATTCTTTTAATATATACTTCTATTATATCTTATATTTTGATATTTGTTAAAAAAGTTCTTTTTAGTGAAAAATTTAATTGCTAAATAAACAAATCTTTCAATTTACACATAATTTCTATAAAACAAGTTGCTCTTCATTTAACCTCCAAATGCATTGTTATGGTTGAGAGTGAGGAGATTCAACTCTCCCTTGTAGTTTCCATAATAATTATTCTTATTTATTCATTTAAACGCATAAACATTGGTACAAGGAGGTACAAAACAGATATACATCGCACAAATCATTCGATTTGAGTGAGGACTATGATACTTCCCGGATACCCAGACCCAAAGTAAGTGGTTTTCTTAGGGGGTCATACCTGAAGCCTTCGATCCAAAGGTCTGGTCCACAAGGCAGTGGAGCAACGTCAGGAGATGCAGTCCTATGGTAGCCAGTTGTTATATTTGAAGCGATTACGAGTTCACCTACTCTGCGAACGGAACAAAAACTCTGATCAAAGACCAATAAGCTAGCTATTATGATGCGTCCCAACCCCACTAACTAGAGAGAGAAGTTCAAGTTCGAAACGGGGAAATATATTTCGCAAGCAGCCAGAAGCTTGAAGAACCACGACAAGCACAAATCAAACGTAGATATACAGCATAAAATTGTCATTAGGAAGTGTTACAAAATAGCATACTAAAAGATACAACGAACCAATAACGTTTAAGATTCTCCCAAGTGGGAAATACGACATGAAATTGAAAAAGCGATTTTGGCGTGAAAACAAGAAACTCAAATTTTCAAAATAGAATAACAAAAATAAGGTATTTACCAAGTGAGTTCTGGGGATCTAACATCCTCAACACCAGTGACCGATAATTGGTTCATATGCCATTTCTTCCTTCAGGATTCTGGAGCTCATGTACACCATTGGTTTGGAATTAGTGTTCACCAATCCCCTAGATAGATCCTCCGTCTCTACCAACCCGGTTAAAGCATCGAACATTCAGTTTTTGTCCTCTCAATTTCGTGAACAACATTCATACCGCGAGAAGGTAGTGAGAAGGACTTCTTTTTGAGTAGCTGTATACGCGTGGCCATATGACAGCATTTCGGGAGAGAGAGAGTGGAAGAGCTGGCTCTCCTTACCTTCGGCCGCACAAAGGCATTTAAGAGCCTACTTTTGAATGGTTCATTTCTGTATCCATGTTTTTACCATTTTGTTTTCTTACGTGTACTTCTTAATATTTTGTTCTCGTGAGAAGCAGCGACCAGTAGGTTTCAACCGGGCCTGTCGTGAGATAGTAACTCACTGATGACAATAGTGGATATGTCGCTCAATTTCGTGGATTAGTTGAAGTCAGATATTAACACCGTTGGATATTGGCCGGGTCAGTAGTTTAGCGGTTAAGCGCTCGCGCGTGCGACTGATAGGTCCTGGGTTTGAATCCCGCGAGGTGGGGTCGTGGATGCACACTACTGAGGAGTCCCGCAGTTGGACGAAACGGCTGTCCAGTACTTCCATAATTTCAACCATTGAAATTACTACAACCTTCACAAAACTCCTACTGATATATTTTTTTCTCTTTTTCTCAGATTATTTTATTATCAGCAACAATTCCTGACGAAGTATTAGAAATATCAAAACAATTTATGCGTAATCCAGTACGTATTTTATTAAAACAAGAAGAATTAACATTAGACGGTATACGTCAATTTTATGTTAATGTTGAACAAGAAGAATGGAAATTAGAAACACTATGTGATTTATATCAATCAATTACAATAACACAAGCAGTAATATTTTGTAATTCACGCAGAAAAGTTGAATGGTTAACAAACGAATTAATTGAACGTGATTTTATTGTATCAGCAATGGTAAGCATAATTCACATTTCATTTTATGGTAATTTAGACTATTGTAATATACTACATGTAAATATTATCTATCTGGAAACTCAGTGGTCTTGAGTGCTGTTAGAGGTATGAGGGCGGTTGTCACTTCCCGGTTGCCCACACCGTGAAAGGGTTCTTCTGGAGGCACCTGAAAAGGAAATTGAATTAGAGGTGGTCTTAGTGATCTGGGAGCATGACCTCAATGCCCAAGGGACAACTGCTTGAGGTCGGTCACAAACGACCTTTTTGTGAGTAATTTTCGTGTTAGCTCCGTACTCGTTGAGACCTTACCGCCGGAAACGGATATGCGTGGGATAAGGCGAGGTGTGCATTTTTATTGTCGACCTTTTCTAACTCCACCCCTCCTTGTGAGACGGCAACATCGCTGTTATGCTGTTTGTCTGAAGGAAACAGCTTACTGCTGTCACATTTCTGTACAGTGAGCAGTACGACTTCACCTTCGGAACGGTTGTTCCAGCCAGTATAGCTCGGTTGCTTCATCACGATAGGCAAGCCCGATCATCACATCAAGGTAGCAACAACGGTTGGGTATCTGGAAACTGAGACTTACTGATGACTTAACCACTAGGCCATTTGATTTACAAATAGAAATATACCTTGTAAAATGGTAGTCTTACATTCGTTCTCAATGTTGGGGAAATTCAGAAAACTCATCTGAAAATGCTGAGAAACATCTTATCCAATCAGCATTCATTAGAATTTTTGCCAGAAGCATTTGGAACGTGACAAGTCAAATGTTATGAAGTGCAGTCCCATAATAGTCGGTGACCAACGATTGGTTCATACGCCATTTGTTTCCTTAGGATACTGGAGCCCATGTACACCATTGATTTGGAACCAGGGTTTTCCAACCCCTCTAGATGAATCCTTTATATCCACCAACCCAGTTAAAGCACCGGACATTCGCTTTTCGTCCTTTCAATTTCGTAAAAAACAGTAATGCTGCTAGAAGGCCATAAGTAGGAATTTCCTGACAGTGGCTGTATAAACATGGTCATATGAGAGCATTTAGAGAGAGAGAGAGAGAGAGAGAGAGAGAGAGAGAACTGTTTCTCCTCATCCTCAGCCGTACCAGGGCATTTGGGGGCTTTATAGCTTTATAGAAACTTAAACTCGATTGTTTCACAGTCAATACTAAAATAAAATATTTTTTATTCTGGTTAGCGTTTTCTTTTTAGCAAGGTTATATTTAATAAGATGAGGTTGCCGACCTTATCCCCAATCCTCCTCCTTTGTATGGGCTTGTGATTAGCATTAACCCTAGAAGAGCTACAGTCGGAGTTAGAATAAAATATCATCAACTGAAATCAATATTACAGTTTATTTAACTAAACTTTCAATGTTTTATTTATCTTATGTATGATTCTTTTATATTCAATAATTCATTAGCATGGTGAAATGGAACAAATAGAACGTGATAATATTATGACAGCATTTCGAAGTGGTTCAAGTCGTATTCTAATATCTACTGATCTATTATCACGTGGTATTGATGTACAACAAATTTCATTGGTAATTAATTTTGATTTACCAACAAATTTAGAAAGTTATATACATCGGTAAGTGAATATTATACTATTATTATTATTATTAATACTGCAAAATTGAGAGGACGAAAAGCGAATATCTGATGCATCGACCGGGTTGGTGGATATGAACGATCCATCTAGGGGAGTTGGAAAACCCTGATTCCAAACCAATGGTGTATGCATGGGCTCCAGTATCCTGAAGGGACAAATGGTGTATGAACTAAATGTTGGTCACCGGTTACCATGTGATTGCATCTGTTGTTACTCCACTGCCTTGTGGATCAGACCTTTAGATCGAAAGCTCCGGGTATGGTCCCCTTAGAAAACCACCTATTTCGATCTGAGCACCCTAACCGTATCACAGCTTATACACATATCAAGTGACTTGTGTGATGTATATGTATTTGGTGCTCCTTTGTACCAATATTTGTGTGTTCAAATCAAATCAAACAAATACCAAAAACACTGCGGATCGTATAAGAAATTTATTTGTAATATAGAATTAGTCAATAGGTTATAAGCATTGTAGAAACTGGCACGTTTATATATCGGTTCTAGATGCTACACTGTATAAACACAACGAAACGTACAACTTATTAAAACAAATATCAAATTAGTAGAAACATCAATAGTATCCATGACAAAGAGTAAATGCATCTGCACCATTGTGACTAATTCTGTGTTATGTCACTTAAAGTCTCCAACTGGGGAGTTTACATATTCCTACTCAGCTTATTCCGATAATCAGTAATTTTGTAGACTGATATGACTCCTTGATTTTTATAACTTTAGTTTTTTTAAACCTATTCCTATACTAATTATCATAGCAGATTGTTATAGGAAATCGTTGGGTATATGTAATTTATGTACTAATCACGTTAGTTGTCGAATATTAACAATATTACCTGCCTATTATCTATATTTATCTAATACTCTTTGTCTAACCTCAATATTGTTTACACAATGGTCCCATAATACGAGAGCGATACTTCTCAGGTATTCATAACCAAATACTAGCGACTTACGAATGTTCCCTATTTTGATGACCACATTTTGGAAAGTTAGTAAATGGAACAAAAATAAAGTGTATGCTTAAAGAATTAACTTTTTATGTTAGTTATTGCTTTTTATGCCTTGAATACGAAAATCATTCGGTAAAAAAACTTATTTGTCTCCAGAATATTTATGCACTTCATTGCGATGATTACTGGAGCTCTTATAATCCAGTATTCAATTGGGAACGGCAGAAAAAGTTATTTCTGATCAGTTTATCATGCCAACCTACATCTCATCGTTGTTTCGATAGTTTATAGGCAAAGTTAACCAGTTTTCATGTTAGGTATAGAACCTCAACTTTAACCATATACATAATACGAGTCTATTACTACTATGTTCGAGGGACTAAGATCTCACCTTAAACTGGCAAACGGAATGTAATCCAACAACACTAACAGGACGAAGATAAGACATTCGTCTGCATATCAACCCTGCTAACTAGAGAAAGAATACCAGAATCAACAGAGAATAGATATATAATTTTAAAAGCAACCCGGAAGAACGAATAACAAGCACTCAACTCATGCGTAATATATACAAAACAAAAATGTCATTGAAAAGTGTCACAAAATTACATACTAAAAGATGAAACAAACCAATGACGTTTAAGCTCCTTTCAGGTGGGAAACAAACTGAAAGTAATAATAGGCGCTTTTGTGGCGAAAATGTAAAATTAAAGTCTTTACAATTAAGTCACAAAAAAAGGAAGTTTACTGAGTGCATTCTGGAGATCTAGCATCCCTAACAACTCCCATTTTCATTAGTGTATATTCCTGGTATTCAACTGCATCTTGACTGTTTGTCGCCGTTGTCTCATCAACCTTCTGGAACGCAAGTCAGTTCATTTATGAAATTCATCGCGACCGGGGGTACGTTGAATGTATCCATCAGAACTTTAAGCAGGAGATTTCTGTTTGTCTATGGGAGATATAAGGTTAATCATTTTGGTAGCTGGCGCCGGTGTCGAGTCCACCTGTCTCTTTCACCTCTAGTTCATACATGACTTGACCTCGCTTTTCGACCACACGTAATTCCGTGTAGGGATTGTGGTTCGGTTTATAGTCCCGAGAAAGCACTGGACACCCAACCTTGTCCGTTGGCAGTTCCTGGGACCCTGTCTATATAGTCCTCTGTAGCATCGGGTTGTGGATCGTCATTAGTCAGGTGCTAACATCAGTTGAGCTATTTCCATTTTGCCCTAAAAAAAAAGCACATTACTGGACATTATGTTCCGCTGTATGGTATTACTCCTCCACATAAGCACCTTTCAGACAAAATCAATAAATAAATACAAAGTCTCTGCATATCATCAGTTTGGAATAGTTCATAATTTAATATGTATAGAGATTTGAATTTTTCCCATTGTTTATATTAAGCCTTACAATTGATCAATATCTATTACTATATGTACATCCTATAAATATCAGCACTGGGATACAGTGTACATTTAACTGTTGAGTCCGAAAGCTAATTTCTTAACATGATTTCAAGCCATCATTCGACTTGAAGGGAAATGTACAATTTTTTTGATAATTATATTAATTTCACAGATTTAAATCATGAGTCAATTGAAGCTAGACCACCATGTGAAACCTGGAAGTACTGGAAAGCCGTTTCGTCCTAGTATGAGATTCCTCAAACGTGCTCATCCACGACCCCGCACCCCGCGAGATTCGAACCCAGGACATATCAGTCTCGCGCCAAGCGCTTAACCATTAGACCACTGAGCTGGCCGGCATTCAATGGTGTTAATGTCTAACTTCAACCAATCCACGAAGTTGCGCTATTGTATACCATTGTCTTCAGTAAGCTGATATCTCACAACAGACCTAGTTGAATTCCACTAGTCACTGCTTCTCACTAGAACTCCAGGAGTATCTCTTGAAGTCAGTCACTAGTGAGCAGATGATTGATATCATGAACCGATTGATGTTAGACCATCATTGAAAACTTAGAAACAGTAGACGGCGATGATCTAACATCAATTGATTCATGATCTTAATCAATAAATTAATAATCTCCACAATTCTATATTGATAATTATATTAATCTCTTTCATAAAGTAACTTTTAATTCTTCCTTTCCTCCCCCCCCTTCCTATTTATTTAATTATTATTTTTTCATAGTATTGGTCGTGGAGGTCGTTTTGGTCGTAAAGGTGTTGCTATCAATTTTGTTACATTAGCTGATGAACGTTTATTAAAAGATTTAGAAAAATTCTATAGTACAAAAATTAGTGAACTTCCAATGGATGTAGCTAATTTATTTTAGAATTAAAAAGAAAGTATATCTTCATACTTGATACATACATACATACATACATACATACATACATACATACATACATACATACATACATACATACATACATACATACATACATACATACATACATACATACATACATACATACATACATACATACATACATACATACATACATACATACATACATACATACATACATACATACATACATACATACATACATACATACATACATACATACATACATACATACATACATACATACATACATACATACATACATACATACATACATACATACATACATACATACATACATACATACATACATACATACATACATACATACATACATACATACATACATACATACATACATACATACATACATACATACATACATACATACATACATACATACATACATACATACATACATACATACATACATACATACATACATACATACATACATACATACATACATACATACATACATACATACATACATACATACATACATACATACATACATACATACATACATACATACATACATACATACATACATACATACATACATACATACATACATACATACATACATACATACATACATACATACATACATACATACATACATACATACATACATACATACATACATACATACACACATGAATATATGGTTGACAACCTTCATTCATTCATTTGGAAAAGAACTTTCTTTTCTTTATCATATACACATATCTATTATCATTTTTATTAAAGAAAAGTTTATTGAATATGTATTTTTCCAATTTGTTTTTCTCTTTTCTCCCTTCTTCTTCTTCTTCTTCTTCTTCTTTATTTCAGTTTTATCTGTCAAAAATGATAAGTAAAAACTCATCTTTAACTGAATTATGTATTCTCTTTGTTCATTCATAAACTTGTTGGAATATAAATGAACCTTATTTGTTGTTGTTAGATGAATAGTGCTGGTGGGTGGTAGTCTATACTCCTCCACGAGGAGTGACAGATGTAAGTAAGTAAGTTTGTTGTTGTTGTTGTTGTTGTTGATAATTCACTGTTTCTTCTTTTCAATACAGTATTCATGGATCTTGTTCATTGTTACTTCTAATGAATATCATGTTTAATGCGTTCGCATTGAATTCTTCTCATTACATTGAATTGGATTGATATTAAACAATATTCATTTATTCTTTGATTTCTGATTAGTAGTCACATTGTTCTTCTTTCCTTTAGATCTTGTACGTGATGAATTGTCTTTTTGTTGTCGTTGTCGTTGTTGTTGATGATGATGAGGAGGAGGAGGAGGAGGAAGATTCACTATTTCTTCTCTTCGATACAATGTTAATAAATCTTGTTCATTGTTACTTCTAATGAGTAGTATGTTTAATGTGTGTTCCCATTTTGTTTCTTATGATTGAATTGATGTTAAACAATGCTCATTTATTCCTTGACTTCTGATTAATAGTCATCTTGTTCTTTTTTTATGATCTTGTATGTGTTGAATCATCGTCTTCTTCTTCTTTCTTTTTTCCCACTCAATTTAGTTCTGTATAGAAAGCTTTCATTTCTTTTTCTATTTCTATTCTTTATTTAAGAAAAGAAGTAACTTTTATTCTAGAAATTTTCAACTATCTTAAATAGAAATCAACAACATTGGTTGTGATGGTTTAACTGCTGTAAAACAGTATAATATTGATTCATGAACAAATAAGACAAAAAAAGTACTTTGATAATTCATCTGTTCCTACTGTGTTCACAATTCGCGTATTGCTATTTTTTTCTTCTTCTTCTTCTTCCAATTGTTGCTAAGAGCATCATTAGTTCCCCTTTTTCTTGTCTTATCTTAATAGTATGATATTATGATTGGTATCTATTGAACTATCTATTCTGCTGTATGTTGAATGAAGGACTGATTGTTTCATGTAGTTCTTTGAAGACACTGTGTATGTATGTATGTATGTGTGTGTGTGTGTGTGTGGTGTCTTTCAGATGTCTACTTGTCAATTGTTTCTGTTACGAGGGGATATCATTGAAATTTTTTAAAAAAAGGACTTGTTTTTTTTTTGTTTTTGTAAATGTGATTATTCATCATTCTATACACCTTTCTGTCCTACTTCTCTATGATTGGTTATTTGGATCTCAGTCCTCTTTTTTTTGTTTTTTTTTGTGTTGTTTGTCATCTTAAGCCTGTATCATCATTATCACTGATAATATTATTAATATTACTCTATTTTAATTGCAATTAGTAACTCATGGTCAATAGTCTTCGAGTATAAATATGAAAAGGTAGCCATTATATTTATGTATGTACTATTTTAGTATTGGATTTAAATTGATTCATTCATTCATTACATATTCGTAGATGGTATTCGTCATACGAACACTGGAGAGTTGTTTTGCTCTAATATGGTATTCAACAATGCCGATCTATAGTACCACTAAGGATCATTATTATTTAAACACAGAAAGATTGGTACAAGGAGGCACTAAATATGAATATATGCCCCACACTTCATCATCCGATTTGTATGGGGGCTGAGATACTGACCAGGTGCCCAAACTGAAGCAGGTGGCTTTCTTAGAAGGGCACTCCTCGGACCTTTCACCTAAAGGTCTAGTGTACAAGGCAATGAAGCAACGTTAGGAGATGCAATCTCATGGTAGCCGGTGACAAAGAATAGGTTTATACACCTTTTTTCCCTCAGGATCCTGTAGCGCATGTATACCATTTGTTTGAAATGAGGGTTTTCGAACTTCCCTAGATGGACTCTCCGTGTCCATCGACCCGGTTAAAGCACCGAACATTCACTTTTCGTCCTCTCAATTTCGTGAACAATAGTAATGCTGAGAGATGGTGAGTAGGACTTCCCTGTCAGTGGATGTATACATGTGTTCATGTGAGAGCATTTCGAGAAGGGAAGCTAACTCTTCCCACCTTTGACCGTACCCAGGGTTTTAATTGCACGCAGTGAACACCTAACCACTGGGTCGGCATCCAGTGGTATAATTACAGCTTTAATCAACTTCCTATGTGACGCAACTATCATTCATAGTTATGAGTAACAACTGTTTCATTTTTGACAAATCTGAACTCCAACAACTTCAACCGTGACTAAGTAACTAGTCAGTAGTTCGCTTGCTCGGCTTTCATTCCTTTTAATTATGATGGCTATCAGTATAATATCTGACCGCTCAAGTTAAATAAGATGAAGTGGGATTCGGTTTTTTAACAAAATGAATGAAGGTTGATTGTTATAAGTAATGTAAGCCGCTGTTATAACGTACATATTTAAATACTGGTGTGTACAATTGATACACTGATTATACAGGCTTTGAAATGCTCAATATACACTAATCGTATCATTTCTTCATGTGGTACTCCACATTTTTTTGGTAGATGATTCACTTGTATTATCTCAGATTCAGTTACTCAAAACGTCTATGGATATTCTCAGATTTTGACCACAGATGTCTAAGAAATATTGCCAGCATCTGTTGGGATCACCGGGTAAGTAATAGTGAGGTTAGAAGTAGTGTATTAGAAAATGATGGTAAATCAGTTGATGAAGTTGTGCATCTTCATCGTCTGAGATGGTTGGGCCACGTGTTACATGTTGGAAGAAAGTTATGAGGGCGGCCAAACCAAAACATGGCATCAGTCCTTGAAGTCATTAACGTCTGTTCTGAGCCATGTTGGTAGATACAAACTACTTGGTTGGGGTCTGCCTGACTATCGTAATCAATGGTTGGAGACTCGGTGTGACATGGCTCAGAATCGATCACAATGGCGTAGGTGTATATACTCTCTGTTTTCTCTTAAACTATGAGATTAAAATTACTTTATATCTTTCTTCCTACGAACTAATTCTTCCTTTCTGTACTATATCCTTATACATAATCTTTCTTCTATATATCACTACCATTGAAGTAACTACTTCAACGAATTTGTTGTTTACCTTGTTACGCTAATGAGGTGTGGCAATTTGAACCGATGTATATATGTACCTGGTCCTACCTTGTGGATGACTGGTTCTCAAATTTTACTCTCCAACCGCAAATACGTTATCAGGTCCGAGTTTTCTTAACTCACTTTATCAGCAATCTTTCAGATAGTGAATCAGCTACGGGAAATCGCAAAAGACGGACATATGATAATCTTTCTCTTGCATCTAACTTTATCGCTAAATATTTGGTTCACTTGAAAATAGGTATTTTAATCATTTGGCTATCAGGATTCAATAACTAAGTGGATAACGCGATGGCGTTTGTAGCGAACGATACTGGGTCCCAGTCCCAGAGTGAACATCAAACCTGAGATGTAAGTACATCCGGTTGACAAGTCCCAAATAGGACGAAACGCGCGTCACGCTGGATTCCTGTGCTGATTACTATCCATCTTTGCTTATAAAGCTTGTGAATTCAAGCGATATTGAGGCAGGATGCCCATATGCTAACAAGAGACTAATGAATTGTAGTCTTAAATGACAATGGTAAGATACAAGTAAACAACACCAAGGGAATAGATTAAGTTTCAATAGAAAATTCAACAGCTCATTTCATTTACATACTGGATAAATCAGGGTATATCACATTCCTTAAGTAGTACGAATGATGGACTAATTGATTGATTAGTAGTCATATGATAAGTCAAATACGTATAGAAATCGGGTTGTATATATTTTCGATTCGAAAAACTAACTCTGGAACCTTGGATTATCATGTGTTGCCTGTTTAAGTAGAGAAAATGTTAGTTTATCTATGATGGGATCATATGAATTCAATTATAATCTATTCAGCTTTTTTATTCTACACAAATGTAATAACTTTTGGCATTAACTAGTTTACCTTATTCCTTCTAATATATTAATTTAGTAAAATTCCAACTTCCACATTTTCGTGTTATGTTTAATCATTCTGAATTTACATCACGAACTGGTATTAGACAAACCGAAGCAATGAACAGCTCTTTCATCCTGATATGATATGTCTGAGTTGTATACATCCAAAACCCTACCATTGGGTGGCGACTGAGCTATCTATAGGTCAAACACACAGCAAAACCTAAGAGTGCTGGATCCAATCCTTAGTGGGATTGAGGACACAAACTGCTGGGATATTCCTTACCAGAATGAAATATCTATTAAGTACTTCTTTATTTTCACTGATTAACTAAGGTCACTTCATAATGTAAGCCACACCGTCTCACAAACTCCTCGTACTTCTCTATCGTTTATTGTGTTCAAAGCACTACTAGAATAAACCGGTTAGATTTATAAGTGCAGAATTTGTTACATAAAATCATATTCAGTTCAATTTCATACATTTATATAGCATGATTTTTTCCGTTACTTCAGTCTTGTTTGTATTATGTTCACTACTTGAATAACGTAGAATACGGTATACAACTACAACACACGAACATAAGAATCCCACAGTCACAAATCAGAAGAAAGCTGGAGAAGTGTTTGTTGGGTAAAAATCAAAATGTACAGAAAATCATGGGTGTTTATAGATATTAGCGTTTGTTATATCAACATTGTAATTCAGCCAATCTTCAAAGCGGCATGTTATGCCACTGTCCAGTAGTAGTAGTAGTAGTATGCCACGCCGATATTCTAGAAAGTCCTGTCACGTTAGGATTGAATGGAAACTCTTCGGCTACTTTAGGACTTCTAGAGTCTCTTTCGTAATTCTAGGAAACCGTCACAACAATTGGTAACTGTCTTCAATCCAGAAGATCTCAGTTTACATTCTCATTTACCTTGTTTGGTTAAAGTTCAGTTTGTGTTTATCAAAAACATTCGAATCATCTGATTCTTCTATGTATGGATGATCCATTTCGATGAGAATAGATAAATATGTTGCTTTTTTTCGTAAATGCACAACTTCAGGACTTCATATAACAAGAATTCTTGGTGAAATTTGAAGAAGTTAAGGTACTAGTTTAAAACCACTAAATACAACGATAGGCCAATCAGAAATCGCTAATGATAAATGCGCGTGATTAGTGAAAGAATGGCTTTATTTTATAATGGACAAGGTATAAGCTATTGAATGGCCTATCTTTCTTAGGGATATGTATATACAATATTGAATGAGTTAAAAATGTAATTTCGCCTATATCCCGTTATATCAATCAAGCGTATAGTTGCTTCTTGATTTGGTTAGGCAACGAACTTCCTTTCTCAATCGTCGCCTTTTCTCCCTAGTAGCTGGGCTTAGAATGCTTGTGAATTAAGGCGATGCGCACAGGATGAATATATATATCAATAAGAGACTGATCCATTGTAGTCCTAAACAACAATGGGAAGATACAAGCAAACAATGCCAAGTGAATTGTCCTCATTTATTTATTTAATACACATATACATTCTGACACAATTATTGGGCAACGAAAACAATAAGCATCACACAAATAAAACGATAACATTTTAAAGAGAAAAACAACAGAAGGTAAAGGGATATAAACACAAAGCTGAACAACGATAAGTAATAATGAAAAAAAGAAAGAAAAACAAAAAAAGTTTCAACAAGAAATCCAACCGAGGAAACCTTGTCTTCTTGTTAAGCGTCTTCTTTTTCAATTTTATAAAGAATATGCCTGATTCGAATGAAAGTCAAAGGTTTTTCATTTATCTCCCCTCTACTGTACTGTTTTGTTAGTAAAACACAATTAAATAGATTTAGTTATTATTTGAATTGAGATAAGCTTCTCATTCATTTTGTTTGATCTTAGTTTAAAGAATGTTAGATCTATTCATGTTATAACTTGTGGCCTGTGTGTCCTGTTAATGTAGAACGTAATGATACCGCCAATTAGAGAGTAGTGAATTATCGATCGGACCAATGACGCCTAAAACCCATGCAAGCAGTCTAGAGTCCTTCTCGGTCCTGCTTCGTGCCTGGCCCAGCCAGTTCGATCTAGAACATCAATTTTAGCCTCTGCGACATGAATCATTTATGAGGTTTATATACCAACCAGACAGACCACATCGTACCAATAAAATTGGAAACAACATTTGTACAAGATTTAGCCAAATGTGGCTGTGAATAATGGAGATAGTAATTGATTGACAGAGAATAACTCAAGAATGATAAATCGTATAATAACAGTTCATAGGTAAAATGAAAGCTTATAATAAGAGCACCATGAATAAGCGTAGTTTAATTACTTAACAATTATACGATAAAAATATACGTTTAATATTGCTCTATAAATGAATTCCAAAAGTTACCATTCATTATTCTTATCGGGATATAACAATTCAACATAGAAAAATTATCCAATGAAAGGTTTCTCTATAAGAAAATAGCATTTGTTGTATATCACAATGGTGATTCTGGTATTCATTATTGAATGTATGTGTTTGAGTAATAAATAAATGCTTTCATTATCAATGAATAAAATCTGTATTGTTTTAATAGCCTTAGATCTGATTCCAGTTAGATCACTTGTGATTACTGTTGAGATGATATACATATTGGCTATTCTCGTGTATAACTATTGAATAACGCAATCAAATAAGTTAAATACGAGAATGGATCTTTGAATGTGTATATTTTGTACACTCGTTGATTGGAACAAACAATCAGAGAATTGCAGCGATTGAAGCGAAACGAAATGATGCACAGTGGAGAAGATATATGAGCCAACTCTTATTTAATCAAGCGTTAATCAATATTTATTTAGCCAGATAAAAATAAGTTACAGACATCTGATGAGTAAGATAGGAAATGCACACATACACCTACATAAGCGAATAATAAACAAGGTCAAGATGTGAATCCAGAACAATGAATAAATTGCCCTGTCCCGAAGCTAGAATAATCTATGTGGAGTTAATCTAGTAACCGACACTACATTGTTATATTTAATAAGGAGAAGAGATGTATTCTTATTGATAAATTGAACCATGTACTAATGATGGATTTGGTCCATGAACAAATAAAGGATTCGGACCATGTGGAATTATACGTGAACCGAGTAATTTAGGATTTGGACCAATAGGTTGATAACGACGTAATTTTTCAGTTGAGCAAAGAATTAAACCCATTGTTTGGTCTGGATGTATAGATGATCCATTATTCTAAAAAAAGAATATAATTAATTAAAATAAAAAACTGACAATAAAACTTAGTAAATATGAATCTTATGGTTCATGTGAAGGACTGATCCTAGTTATACAATCATTAAAAATAAGGAAACATTGGAAAACTGTTTCTGTAGTGTGTGCTACTGATGTCGGCAGATATAAGTAGTATGTACCACCAATTGAAAGTAGAATGCCTGGAGGCAGAAGAATAAGAAGATCGAAGAGAAGAAAACGAGAACAGAGAATGATTGCTGTGAAAATAAAGAAACTACGAAGCGTGAGACAATTGACATTTTGCAAATGAATTGTTTACTCTATGCTTCTCAGATTTTACTACGACGTTCTGTAAATTTGTGTTCAAATAAATTCGAATGTCCCCACTTGTATTCTCGTTCACTACATTTGTTTTCGCTACCAACCAGGATGCGAGGGTGCTGTTCTGTGTATGCCGTTGTGGACCTTGACCTGAGGTGCTGGTTGGAATAGTCTGGTGAGTAGGAAGGATTTGAATGTGACCAACTTGGTCCCGTGTGTTGTTACGGGTATGAGGGCTGATATCACTTCCCGGCTGCCCACACCGTGGAAGGGTATTTCTTAAGGGACCTGAAAAGGAAGTTGGATTAATGTTGGTTTCAACGACCTGGGAGCGTGACTGCAGAGCCCAAGGGACAACTGCTTGAGGCCGGTCGCGCACGACCTTTTGTGGGAGGTTTTTAACGTGCTAGCTCCGTTCTTCAAAGGGCCTTACTGCCGGAGACGGAAATCCGTGAGGTAAGGTGAGGTGTGACATTTTTAAGGTCGACTTTTTTGAATCACTTCCTTCCTTGTGAGGAGGCAGCATCGCTGCAGATGCTACTTGTCCGAAGGAAGCATCTTACTGCTGTCACACCCCTCTACAGTCAACAGTACGACTTCGCCCTCAGACCTAGAGTTGCTACTTTTAGTCTTACAGTTCTCCAATCGACCTGCCTGGCATGGTAGAAACTACAGGAACATATGTTCTAGCCAATATAGCTTGGTTGGGTCATCACGATAGGCAAGCCCGACCACCACGTCAAGGTAGCAGCTACGGTCGGGAAGGGAGGTTAACGTGATGAGGGTTAACGTCGAGTGAAGTGTTCTGGCGGGGAGGCAATGGCTGTAGTGGGTGTTGCCGACGGAAAGGAGCGGCGGGACATACGACCGCTGGGTGGATATCGGATGTAGATGGCTCAGCAGGTCGCTGGAGTGCATCTACTGAACGTCCCGGGCTGGATTTACGTAGGATTTTGATGGCCCGGCAGGTCGACGGAGCTATGGATGTCAACGCGCCTCAGACTCGACATTTCGACGGAGGGCATGGTACAGACTGTATAACAGAAGTGGTACGGCGAGCAGAACTCATGCAAACTACATAACTGCAGATTTTGTACATTAAAAACATTCAACAGCTTATTCAGTAAAGTTTTCTATACATGAACTAATCTTGAAAATAAAGGTTTTGGCATACTTTCGTTTTCTATTCAAGTTTCAAGAATGAATGAGCTCTAAGGACTAAGAAGTTTTTTCAATTCACTGTTATTTTATGCAATAGATTGACGTATTTACGAATTATACAAAAAAAGAAAATTCATGAACAAATTTCACTTAGACCACAGTATATAAACTGTATTGATGCAATATATATCATATCTGTATCCTGTTCTTTATTATAATCGGTCGGAAAAATTTGCTTTGGATGAACTGAACAAGTGCAGTCATTATTACAGTTTCATAATATAGCCATCTTGTCTATCCAAAAAGGTTTCCTCTAGAAATTCTTATGTAAACTTGTTATGTCCTTAGGATTAGTGATGTATTGGTGAACGACTTTTAGACGATTAAACTAATAATACCGGGAAAAGTCTTCAACAGGGTATTGTTAAACAGGATGAAGGACTGTGTAGACGCCCAACTTCGTGACCAACAGGCAGGATTCCGTAAGGATAGATCGTGTACAGACCAAATCACAACTCTACGGATCATTGTGGAACAATCAATTGAATGGAATTCATCACTCTACATCAACTTCATTGACTACGAAAAGGCCTTTGACAGCGTGGACAGAACAACACTATGGAAACTTCTTCGACACCACGGCGTGACTCAGAAGATAGTCAATATCATACAGAACTCATATGATGGATTACACTGCAAAATTGTGCATGGAGGACAGTTGACAAAGTCGTCCGAATTGAAGACCGGTGTTAGGCAAGGTTGCCTACTCTTACCCTTTCTCTTTCTCCAGGTGATCGACTGGATCATGAAGACGTCAACGTCTGAAGGGAAGCGCGGGATACAATGGACATCTAAGATGCAGTTGGATGATCTAGACTTCGCAGATGATCTGGCCCTTCTATCCCAAACGCAACAACAGATGCAGGAGAAGACGACCAGTGTAGCAGCAGTCTCAGCAGCAATAGGTCTCAATATACACAAAGGGAAAAGCAGGATTCTCCGATACAACACAGAATGCACCAATCCAATCACAATTGATGGAGAAGATTTGGAAGATGTAAAAACCTTTACAAATATGGGCAGCATCATTGATGAACAGGGTGGATCCGATGCAGATGTGAAGGCGCGGATCGGCAAAGCAAGAGCAGCATATTTACAACTGAGGAACATCTGGAACTCAAAGCAACTGTCAACCAACACCAAGATCACAATTTTCAATACAAATGTCAAGACAGTACTACTGTATGGGGCAGAACTACGAAAGCCATCATCCAGAAAATACAGGTGTTTATTAACAGTTGTCTACGCAAAATACTTCGGATCCGTTGACCGGACACTATTAGCAACAACGTGCTGTAGGAGAGAACAAACCAGATCCCAGCGGAGGAAGAAATCAGGAAGAAGCGCTGGAAGTGGATAGGACACACGTTGAGGAAAGCACCCAACTGCGTCACAAGACAAGCCCTCACATGGAATCCTGAAGGCGAAAGGAGAAGAGGAAGACCAAATAACACATTACGCCGAGAAATGGAGACAGGCATGAGAAGAATGGACAAAAATTGGATAGAACAAGAAAGGAAGGTCCAGGACAGAGTGGGTTGGAGAATGCTGGTCAGCAGCCTATGCTCCATTGGGAGTAACAGGCGTAAATAAGTAAGTAAACTAATAATATCTGATAATAATTAACAATCCTATGACTAATTATGGGGTCCTAAACTTAAATTTGAGCCACATTGTGAAACATAAATTAAATCAGTGATAATCAACGTAGATTATGACAAAAATGAGTGTTAACACAAGTTATTGTAGCACATTAGCAAGACAAGATAAATAGCAAATACGTGGGGATATGGTTGTCGTAACAAACACAGTAAAAAAAAACGATAAAATACTGAGAATGTGGTTCAAGAAGACGAAAAGAAAAGGTGTATATGAAGAGAAATTGGGATACATTTCCACTATTGTGACCGATTCTGGGCCATGTCATCCAACGTGAGAAACCACTGATCGCAGGTAGTCTGTAACAACTAACAAGGCTCAAATCAACAGTCAATGACTTCATGGTTTGTGAGTTATATCACAACGTTGTTTTCAAACCAAAGTAGGAAAGGCAATGGTCATATTCACGATTAGGTAGTAGAAAGTTGAATCTTTCAATAACACACTAAGTCCAAAGGCTACGCAAAAAAACTAGTGTAGTCCAAACTAATAGTTTGATACTTCCTTGAATTTATCGCAGTCATCACAGATGGTGTACCATCGAAAACCAGAAAGGACCATACACATATTTTGGTTTAGTATGAGCCTCCCCAGAAGTACGCACCTACGATCTTGCTAGGGATATAACTCAGGACTTTCAGGTTTTAGGACAAACGCTCAAACATTCAAATCGGAGTCTAACGGTGCACTATCAGCACGACGATCATCCTTAATGCATATTTTCCTGCATCGAAATGTATAAATTTATCGATTGATATGACCGAGGAAGGGAAGTGTCCACTCTCACTCTCCAAATGTTCTCACATGGTCACACGTATACATCCACCGACAGAGAAGTCCCGTTGATTGCTTTCCCACGGCATTACGGTTGTTCACAATATTTAGAGGACGAAAAGTGAATTTCTGGAGCTTTAACTGAGTTGGTGGATAAGGAGGGTCCACCTAGGGAGTTGGAAAACCCTGATTCCAAACCAATAGTGCACATGGGCTCCAGTATCCTGAGGGAACAAATGGTGTATGAACATGCTATTGGTCACTTTTAGTTCGTAGGCTCCGGGTGTGGTCCCCTAAGAAAACCACCAGCTCGGTTTGAGCACCCGAGTAGTATCACAATCCACACACAAATCAAGTGGCTTGTGTGGCGCATGTTTATTCGGTGCCTCCTTGTACCAACATTTATGTGTTCAAATAAATAATAAATAAGGTAGTGATGTGATAAATATTACATAGCACTCACCAATGACTGCTTTTCAACCGATGTTTCTGTAGTATTAACCTTTTGCAATGGATTATTTTCAGTGAGAATAACGGTATTGGAAGTAACAGTTGTAGTAGTAACAGCAGTATCAACGTGTTTTTCTAGCGACAACCTGCTAGAATTATTAAATATTGAATAGAGAGAATGCGAAAACAACACATAAAACCAAATAAGAGATCAAAAAGAGAATAGAAAGATTTTCAGGAAAAACAAACGGTTTTTTGGCGACTATTCTAAAACATGATGTTGAGTTAATTAGAACTAGTGGGCATATCACAACGTGATTGATAGAATTCAATCAGTACTCTGAAGGAATAAACAAACATGAAACTGGCTACCAATAAAAGAAACAGTCAATCTACTAGACTGAAATGAATGCAAATCATAGACATTATTCGTTAGCTTCACTTGGTGTCGTTTGCTTGTATTTTTCCATTGTTGTTTAGAACTGCAATTGATCAGTCTCTTATTGGCATATGTGCATCCTGTGTGGATTGCATCCGTATTGCCTTAATTTACAAGCTTTTTTTTAAGAAAAGATGAATAGTGGCTAGCAGTGGAATCCAAGACGCGCACCTCCACCTATTCGGGACCCGTCAGCTGGATGTAGCTGCACCTCAGAGTTGATGTTCACTCCGGGACTCGAACCCGGTACCGTTCGCTTCAAACGCCATCGCATTATCCACTTAGCTACTGAGCCCTGATAGCCACTTGCTTGTGTAATTGGATGAAGTTTAAATTCACTTGGCATTGTATGCTTGTATCTTCTCATTGTTGTTTAGAGCTGCAATTGATCACTCTCTTTTATAGGCATATGTGCATCCTGTGCGGACTGCCTCGATATTGCCTTAATTCACAAGCATTATAAGCAAAGATTTATAATGGCTAGCATCTATTATCTTACTAAAAGGTATGCCATTTTTATTAAAAATTTTCATAATAACAACAAAAAACAATGTGATGTAGCGTATAGGTAGGATTCGTTTAGAATCTTTAGTGTTAGAATAATTTACTGTGTTGATGTTAAAGTCTGCCGTTAAGTGGTAGCTAAATAGTTTAATTCACCTTTAGACCACTAATTCGCGGATTAGAACCCGCCCCAGCTACTTCAATCCAAGAAATCGAGTAGCATTACTCTGGTCCTCAGAAATAGAGTATGGCCTGAAGTGAAATACATTAAATCTGGTCTTTCTTACTGGTTATTTCAATATCATTAACTTTTTTAATGAATTATCATGTTTTTGTAGAGATTATTGGATGTGTATTTTTCATTGTGGATGAGTGACTTTGGATAGGAAACTATCTGTCCAGTGTTCGTTTTCTCGTGTTTTAATAATTTAGAGACTGATTCCATTCCATCGTGAAAATACCCTATTTATTTAAACACATAAAAATGGGACAAGGATGCACCAACGAGATATGCGCATATAAATAATCGATTTATGTGAGGGCTGGGATACTGCCAGGGTGCTCAAACCGAAGAACGTGGTTTTCTTAAGGGGCCACACTTCGAGCCTTCGACCGGGGGTCTGACCCACAAGGCAGTGGAGTGAAGTCAGGAGATGCAGTCACATGGTAGCAGGTGACCAACAGTTGGTTCATACGCTATTTTTTCCACAGGATACTGGAGCCCATGTGCACCATTTTGTTTTGGAATCAGGATTTTTCAACCCCCCCCCCCAGATGGATCCTCTATAACCACTAACCCGGTTAAGGCGCCGGACATTTGCTTTTCGTCCTCTCGATTTCGTAAAGAACAGTAGTGCCACGAGAAGGCGGTGAGTGGGACTTCCCTGGCAGTGGTTGTATGCACGTGGCCACTTGAGAGCATTTCGAAAGGGAGGGCGGACACTTCCCACTCTTGGTCGTCCCAGGGCATTTGGTGGTATTTTTACTACTCAGTGATTGATTAATACAAATTAGTTTGACTAAAATTATAAATAAGTTATTGAAGAATTCTCGTAGGGAAGTGGTGTCAGTTACTTACTTGATTTGAAGTGACTCTTTATCATTTTGTGTGGATTCTGATGTGTCTCCTTTTTTAATTGATTCCGTAGCAAAAACATTATCATCAACATTGTGATCATCATTATCTGTTGGTGTTTTTGGTAACAATGAATCATACTTAGGTTTTTTATTAGTTTTCGGTGAAAAATAAATTGATGAATGATATGATTCATGATCATTTTGTGAACAAACACTTGATTTTGATTCACGATTACGATGTGTTGAAGTAGTTCTTCCTTTGGAATAAGTATCTTTTCGTGATGAATTTTCTCCATTTGGTTCAATTCGACTACGATGTGTTTTTGTAGCGGGACCATCTTTACTACGATCATCTAAAATCAAAATAATAAAATATGGTAGGATGAATACTAATTCAAATTTTTAAATTAAACTGTTAAAATAGTGATACTAAGTTTGAAAAAGTGGTTCTTGCCATGGAGAGAAAAAAAGGTGAAAATCACGAAGCGTTAGATATCCACTTCTTTCAGGCTCGGTACTCATCAACTATATGCACCTACGGTAACACACAGACTTAATGCTTGTAATTTAAAGGATCTATACCTATTGCCAGATTTAAAGGTCCTGGCTTTTTCACGAAACAATTCCTATACAGATTGTGTTTCTAGTAATATTGATCATTGGATTGTTTGTTCAAACTTCACTGGTTTTGATTTGGTCAACTGGATAGTAGTATCACCAACCTTTGTACAAATAATGTGGTTTAAAGTCAAATACATGAAGTTAATTACATTAGTTAGTGGGACATTGGCGTATGTTGTTTTAATCTTGGAAAGATTAACAAGAAAAATGCTACACAATTACCAAGTTGAAAGTACATATATATGATGAAATACATGCTGAAAGACAGAAACAAGTTTGTTTAAAAAGTAAACATGTAGTAACAGAAGTATCACCTAAAATTCCGTTATTAACGTTTAAACACAATGTTATTGTTATAAATGGCCGCAAAAATAATACGCATCACAAAAGAAAATGAGGTTGTGAAGAGATAGAAAGAGGAGTGAGGAAAGAATCAAATAGATGTCATCTCGCGCTCGGGTGTAGATCCCAAAGAAAATCGCCTGCTTTGGTTTGGGCACTCTGGCAGTATCACAGCCCACACACAAATCAAGTGACTTGTGTGGCGCACATGTATTCCGTGCCCCTTTGCACCAATATTTATGTGTTCAAATAAATAAATAAAATAAAATGATCAAGTTTCAGTGTAACTAGGGTATCTAAAAAATCTTAATCAAACAATTATACAATGTATATTTGTTTACAGCAGTTTTGTAAATGATACTTATCAGTTTATCATAGAATCAACCTTAGAATTAATGAGATTTTCATAAAGCACGTATGTGAGACTAACCATGAAATACCATTACCAACAACAAAGTCTTATCATAAAAAACGATAGCATAAATGCAGTTAAGCAGTTTCAAGTATCAGATCATACAACCAATTCACCAAAACAGTAGAGGAAGAACCTTAATTTAGTAGTAATTTCAGTTAATTTTCGATTACAATGATATGTTTAGATAAACTCCTAAATTATTTTGCATACCGATAAATTTGCATACATCCAATAGTTCGCTAGGACCGGGATATGAGTGATTAATTATACATAAACAAGTATTTTATCATTTCCCCCTTCAAATGCCGTGATACGGCCGGGAGTGGAGAAAGTCAGCTCTCCCTCTCCAAATGCTCTCACATGGCCACGTACATACAACCACTGACAGGGAAGTCCTACTCACTGCCTTCTCGTAGCATTACTGTTCTTTACGAAATTGGGAGGACGAAAAGCAAATGTTCGGCGCATTAACCGGGTTGCTAAACACGGAAAGTCCACCTGAGAGAGTTGGAAAGCCCTGATTCCAAACCAATAGTGCTCAAGGATCCTGAGGGAACAAATGGCGTATTAACCAATCGTAAGTCACCGGCTACCATAGGACTGCATCTCCTGACGTCGCTCCACTGTCTTGTGGATCAGACCTTTAGGTCAAAGGCTCCAGGCGTGGCCCCCTAAGAAAACCACGTTCTTCGGTTTGTGTACCCCGGCAGTATTACAGCCCTCGCATCAATCGAATGATTTGTGTGTGCATATTTATTTGGTGCTTCCTTGTGTCAATGTTCATGTGTTTAAATAAATAAATAAATATTATCCTCTACTCAACTTTGAAAAAAAGATATTACTGGTACAAACTATAGTGAAAATGTAAGCAATACCAAATAGCTTAAAAATAGCACTTACCGCATGGTTTAGGGTTAACAGATTTTGGATTTTTTTGTGACCTATGAGTAAAATAATATTTTTTAAAAATCAAGTGAACTGAACTTCTAGAGAAATATATATATGTACACATATAACTCGTTTACGAATAACAGGTGTCAGCAGAACATAAATTGAATTAAAGCATGCTCCATGCAGTAATGTGTTAGGGCACGCTAATTAGCTATTTCTTATCCAATCAGCGCTAGTGGATACCTGAAGACTCTACAATCTCATGTAAAAACTATGAGTATACTAACATTGTCCTGTCGTGATTCCTACTTCCATCCAACCTTTTTATTTGGAATGTAATTATGTTCCTGTTCAACCGTGTTCTGATTTAGGGACTTTTTGAGTGAAGCAGTGTCCAAGAATGCTAGGCAATATGAGTGGCTTGGTCGTAATAAAAGAAATCGTAACAACAGGTTAATTTAGACAACTTGGAATTGCTAACGATTAGTTCCCAGCTACTGAGGTGAAATTAGGATCTACGAACTATTAGTTGAAAAGCAAATGGTCTGGTAACCAAAATGAAGGATTGCTAAACGATAAAAAGGACAAATTCTAACAATATTGACTAGATAAACATCCATAACAATTGACCATCTTTTATCTGAAAGTGCTACGATGAATTATGGTCAATCAAAAATAAGTAGTCGATACAACTTATGAAAACATTTTAAAATATAAAGGAATAATTATATGAATCAACTTTACTTAGAATAAATTTCAGGTATGTCGAAAAATTCACCAATTAAATCTTGTCGATCACCAAAACCCATTCGATAAGTATTCTAAAGCATACTTATAATAATGAAATCATACTAAAAGGTCTATTTGTTGAGCAGAATAATATGCAGGTCGTGGATCATCCCAACTAGTAGTCTTATCCTCATGATTGATATAATACCTACATAAAATGGTTATTGACAAAAAATATTACACAATATACAACAAACCAGTGGCCGGATTCTGAGTCGAGTCGAGACTCCCAGTTAGGAGGTAACGGCATGTCTGAGTAATCAGATGACATTATTTATACTGAGGAGATATTATTCAATCTGAAAGTTAAATATGAGAAAAGAAGTATAAAAGTATAAACGAAAACTAATTAGGTGGAAGTATTTAAAGGTTATTTCCAGGTATTTGAGAACAATTAAATGAAACCAATACTTCCAAACTTGATATTTTAATAAATAGCTATTCCACCCCAAAAAGGGATATATCCTTTCAAAAACATAGGTCTCAGTACAAATTTTTTCAAAAAAATTTGACTAATAATACCAGAGTATGTTGTGTTATGTGAGTGTAAAACTCAGTTAATCTCCGAAGAATAAACCCTTTGAATAACTTATCATTTTAAAACGTTATCCCAGATACATGTGACATTAACTCGCCTACCTCCAACAAAACATAGTACAGAAAAATATTGTGTTCCACTCTTCCAGAGTTTACTAAGGCTGATCAAAGGTAAATAATGAAAACGTGTATAGTTTTTTTGGTCATTAGTATGTTTTAAGAAACACTACCCCGATGTCAGTCCACTATATGAGTTATCGTGTAAATGATGTGTCTACAAAGTCCAAGAATGAAGTGAATAAGTTTTTCTGCGAATGGCTAGTAAAAGCATAGATTAAAATATTAAACTGACAAAAGTAGAAATGGTAAGAGTGGCATAATTAGTAATCAAATCAAGACAGAGTTGAAATGCTGAGTTGATTAGTCCCAGTCTGAGTCCAGCTTGGTTACATATACATATAAATTGCAATTGAGAGAATCGAAAAGCTAGAAATGTTTCAACACACTAGTATTAATTCGGACTTATCTAAAGGTCGTTTCATTACCATGTTTACAGGCACATCTACCCTGAGCTTTAAGTGTATGGTATCAAATGTGATGGTCATATGGTACTATCAAATTTAAAAAATTGGCCACAAATTAAAACCATACCGTTATACGTTTAATGACCCCCTTCCTCATACACTTTGCAAATGATTCAAAAGATAATAAATAACCGAAGTCGTATAAACATACTGTATGTGAATGCACGATCATATGAGTTCCACGTATGAAGGCTTCAACTAGTTTCAGAAGTAAAGTACATGGGAGAACCGATCGGATCTCAACTCAATCAATGCATCGACTACAGTTAATATCGTAATGCGATGAAAATCGTGGTATCTTATGCGCAAATGTTCATATTCCATGTTGAATTTGTTAAGCAAGGACAATATAGTTATGTTTTTAATATGAATAATTTCAGTATTCGCGACGCAACAAACATTGTCTCTTTGACGGCCAAAGGTAGCCCATATACTTTACTTTCAACGAAGTTGACAATTCAAGGTTTGAAGTGTGTTACACGGAGATGCTTACAATACTCACGGCAAATAGTCAGAGATAAGCTACGCAACTGGAGTACGTAACCTTGAAGTAGCAAGCATTAGAAACTCTCACCCACTTTCAGTGAGTGAACATTCAATATCTCTAATTTTGTATTGTATGAGTCAGACACACTTAATTCCTCTTGTTTCAGTACAGATCTTATTATCTAATTGATGCCGATCTTGTCAATTGGTTGAACTAGTTCTAGTTGGCTTGACAGTTGTTTGTAAATTTATGTATTTCATAATTTGATTAATTGCATTAGTCTCAGTGAAGTAGGGTGACTGGAGCCAGTAGATACAACATTACAAGAGATAAAATTTTTTTAGTTGCACTGAAAAAATAACAAAGAGTGGATCTGAATTTTAAAGGAAACGACTGTTACTAAACCGTTTATGAAGACATCAATGGTACGACAAAATGTGAGAATGGAAAAGAAAATGGAAATGATAATGACAGAAAGAACTCATGATATGTATCGAGAGTAGTGGTAGAAAATTTATCAGACGTGCATCACTCACAGCCAATCCAAGAGCGAAGTGGTAATCCCTGAGAAGTTACCTGTTTGTCAAATTTTCTCTTGAGACTGTAGTGACCTACTTTTACAGAGAGAACGCGATAAGTTTAATGGAAACAATTATTATTATAACCAATTGTACCAGAGATTGTTTTACTGTGGTCGTTTGTTTGACTGTACTAAAGACATCCCTTACTCCTCCATTATTCCTCTTTTGTCTGTGGCCTATTACGCTCGCACGTCTGCCCATTGATTCCGCTTGTATTTCATTTCGCACGATCTCGGTGTGCTTTCGATACCACGAGATCGTCAACGAACAAACCTTGTTACAACCTTCATCTGCCTTCTGATTTCCTGACACGCGCTCTTCTTGTAGTGGTGTTCATAGTCAACCGCGACTCGACTCCACGCTACATGACTATCTGCTAGTAGGGGTGAAACCAATTTATTTGTCAGATAATCTCAAATGGAGGCAACTCTAAGTGAGCAAAAGTGGGAGAACAGTCGGGATTTCATAATATGTCAAGTTTTTTTTGGAGGTTGACTCGAGGAGTGTGGTTATAGCATTCTGGTAGAACGTATCTATTGTAATGACATGGCGAGCTTAACATGCCATAAACCATTATCAAGACACCTGTCATTATCCTATCGTTCAGCAAGAGACATTCTGAGTGTCAGAGTCCATGCTAACAAGATGTGTCTCTTTATTCTGCCATCAACTTAGTTTCCCATATTTATACCTGTAGCGTGGCGTCGAGTCGAGGTTAACTATGAACACCGCTACCAAGAAACACGTGCCAAATAAATCAGAAGGCGAAGGTTGAACGTAACCAAAGAAACCCGTAAAATCCCCGAGAAGCCAAATACCAGAAGGCAATTAATGGACCAAATCGAGATATATATTTGCTGGCGATCTCGTGGCATCGAAAGGATACCGAGATTGTGCCAGAATACAAGCTTGGTTACAGGACGTAACCGAATTCGCGCGAAGTTACAATCAAAGTGTGAGTATAAGAATGGAAGCACGAAATAGCTGTCATTAACACAGTCAAACAAAAGCACATTAAAACAAACACTGGTACAGTTGGTTATAATAATAATTGTTTTAAATAAACCAGTCGTGTTCTCGTGATAAATGTGAGTCACTACATTACTGACCTATGAGATTTGTTACATTTGAAAAAAGGGGTACAAAACGATGTTGCGCAATACTAACAGGAGTCTTCATTATGATTCAAATGATATCATAAATAACTGTAGGGTGAATGTATAAAGCTATCTTTGTATGAATTTAAGGGCTATATTTGCTTCGGCTTCATCTTGAAAAATAGTTTGAAATGATGTCTATGCTAAATGTGATCACAAGTTTCAGATATTGCTCAGAGAAGAAAAATAAAGGCTACTTTTCACCTAGGAAACAGGAGACATCCTATTTTGATAAGTTAATTATTGGTCCGTTGTCCACTACCTATTTTATTATTATTGTTATATCCTTTTAAAATTCCAATAAATCCTTCTCGCTATTCATGGACCTCTTTATCCAAACGCCGTCAGTGTACACCAAATTCACTAAGCTCATCCTGTTGACGATGTCAATGAAAATTCAAAAGACTAGAAAATGGAAACTGTGGAATACAAACTACGGTTTGGACTGAAGAATAGCCGTCCAGGTAGGTTAGACACGCGCCTTTGCCCGTCAAAATCAAAACAAGTAATCGGGTAAATGACGGTTCTATAATTCATCATAAATTTAAATGTACATCGTTACCTAAACAAATATTACTACCCGGCCATTCAAACAAATAATTGTTCAATCAATCAAATCTAAATCACAATAAATAAAGAATTTGATAAAAGATGCGGGAAAATTTACCAGTCACAACAGGTGAACGCTATTCTATCCTCACTGGATAGAACACGCACAAAAGAAGGAGCAAGTCAATATGGCTGCCGCCAAGACCAAGTATCAAGTAAAACAATATAGATGCAGCTCGGGAAGAAACACAAGTCCTTAGTGAAGGCGTGAGAAAAAATGAAACTATAATAAAAAATACAAATATTAACAATTCAAATGTAATCAAAAGACTAACAATGTACAACTAAGAGGATCAATAGGAACAAAATGCAAGTGTATACATGAAGGGAATTTCACACACAAAAGATTCAAAATGGATCTTACAGAAACCTTACCTCGTTATGTTCCTGATGTCGAAAATGACAAGCTCATGAGCTATTTACCTTAATGGAAAAACACTAAAGGCTTTCTGAAATTATAAAGCATTATTTCGTTCCTCAAGATATGGAGTACAGCCAAACTGTAGAATGTCACTCTCAAAACCCCCGAGAAGGCATTAAAGTATACGCGTCAAGAAAGGAACGTTATTTTGACCAAAAGAAATAGATAAACTTGGACAGAAATAAGAATCAGTGTAACAGTCGTCAATTTTAGGTCTTATGTGTAAGATCCATTTGAAATGTTTTGTGTGTGTGAAATTCCCTCCATGTATATACTTGCACTTTGTTCTTATTGACCCCCTTAGTTGTACCTTGTTAGTTTTTTTTATTACATTTGAATTGTTAATATTTGTATTTTATTATAGTTTTTATTTTTATTACGCCTTCACTAAGTCTTCGTGTTTCTTCCCGAACTGCACTTATGTTGTTTTACTTTATAATTAGTCTTGGCGGCAGCCATATCGGTTCGTTCCTCCTTTTGATTGCGTTACCTGTTCTGACTGGAATTGTGCATTTTTGGTTGTGAATTGAGGCACTCTTCCAAAATTGGAAACACTCTATGTTATAAAGTGACCAAATATTATCTTTTGAACGAATCTATGCTTGATCTATCCAGACAGGATAGAATAACATTTATTTGTTGTGATTGGTAATTTTCTTGCATCCTTTATCAACTTCTTTATTTATTGTAATTTAGATTTGATCAATTGAACAATTATTGGTTGTATAGGTGAGCGGTCATATTTGTTTAGGTAACAATGTGCATTTAAATTTATGATGAATTATAGAACAGTCATTTTACCCAATTACTTTGTTTTGGTTTCGAACGGGCAAGGGCGCGTATCTAACCAGCCTAGTCAGCTATCCTTCAGTCCAAACCTTAGTTTGGATCTTAC